GATAAAGTGACCTTACTATATGATCAGACATTAAGGAAACATGCTATGTTGAAGTGCTGGCTTCTCTGACAACAATGCAGCAGCCAGTATGTCCTCCTTCTAATTTAGATTCTGCTCCTGAATTAATTAAAGGAGCGCTATGTGTTTAAAATGGGTACTGCAGTCTAAATTCTAAACATTGTAGAGCGCTATCTCCCCCTCCTCTCTAGAGTCGATGCTCATGCAGGTTGTCCATGTAGTGACACTGAAGCTTCAGTGTTTAGCCAGCTCTGCATCGGTCTGTAAACCTTTCTGTGTTCTAACCTCTCTCCATTTTTAAAAAGCATCTCCAATATTGATCCTAGTTTGAGCACGTTTCTGCTCGTGGAGCTTATTAGAAACATGCAGAGGCTTTTTAGGTCGGGTACAATCACTTCTATCTGAACCAGTTCTCTTGCCCGCTTCCATCGCTGCAACACCTGTTGGTTTGAAACTGCCTACCTTCTCTGGTCCAAACAAATCCAGAGCATTCAGGACCAGAATCTAAAGTTAGAAGGAGGACATACTGGCTGCTGCATTGTTGTCAGAGAAGCCAGCACTTCAACATAGCATGTTTCCTTAATGTCTGATCATATAGTGAGCTCACTTTATCATTTCACTTCCTACACATCTTACTGGTTGGACCTTTAAAATCACAATTATCTGATGGTTTAGGCGACAATAACATTTTTTACGTCCCTAGAGCAGGAAATAAACAACCTGACAATAAAGCTTAAATGGCAAATCGCTCTGAAATAGAAAACTGATTAGGAGGATCAACAACCTTCAATGAAGGTAGAAACTGTGACGCCTTGGGTCTGGCCCTCGTTATCAGACCATACTTAAATTTTACTGCTTGGAGTGAAAGAGAGTTATCATCCCCGCTGTTTGCATAGTTCCTCCAGTGAAAGATGAACCTGGACAAGCAGCGATAGGACTCAGGTCAATGTTTACCTCTCACCTTTCCTTATCGAGCTGGGAGTTTTCCCTTCATGCCCAGACAGAAAGTCCCTCGACCGCTCCCTCCACCGTTTCTTCGCCTCTTTTCTCAGTGGATTCAACCGTTGAGCAACAGGATGGTTGTATTTGAACGATGACGTTGTATTTGATTCCACAGAGGGAGATGAGGGGACTGAGGGGCGGCACCTGTGGAAGATCGTCTCGCTGCAGACCATTAACCCTTTTCAGAAAGGTCAACTCTAATCCTCGATGTAACTAACATCGACTACATGCCCCTTATCTTTCTGTTTGGCTTCTGAGGTCAGCATCCGTCCTGCTCCACCTGTTTTCACAACTTTCTTCCCGCAGGTGCACACTTTCAAAAGGAGCCACACACCTTTCAACACAGAATATGATTGTTCTGTGCTACGGTTATATCATGGTTATGTCATTGGTGATGTGTGTGTCACTTTTTTTGTTTTGTTCTGTTTTGTTTTGGTGTGTGTGTGTGTGTGTGTGTGTGTGTGTGTGTGTGTGTGTGTGTGTGTGTGTGTGTGTTTGTTTTTATTTTTTTATGTGGGTTGCTTGTTTTTTGTTGCTTTTATTTTTCTCTATAACAAAAAAATTGGGCAAACTAAGATATTATTATAACCATTTTTTTTTCTTCTGCATTCTATTATTGTTTTGTATAACATTATAAAAAAAATAATAATAATGATGTAAGAAATGAACTATGTTCAGAAAAATTAACTATGTCTGGATAAATGAACAATGTTTGGATTGCCAAATAAATACAAAGTTGCAAAAAAATAAAAACTGTGAATATGATAAACCTCAGGACATTTAGCAGCTGAGCTCTGGGGTCATTCCTTCTTTGGACCAGATATCATAAAAATCAAATTCAGTTTTTCCCCCCGGTTGTTTCTCATGACAGTTAGCAGCCTGCTGTCGGTCCAGTGCTCTGAAAGTTTCTCTCTAGTTAACAGCCATCAGCTCCAGTGAGCCGACGTGATCAAGGGAGCTGGGAAACAAAAAAAACAGGAGGATGAAGCCGTAAAAGCACAAACTGAAGGTTTTACTTCAGCTCAAACAAAAGAAGAAAGGTAATACAAGATGACCCGTCTGTTAATGGCTGATGGGATCAGTGCACGTGTAAACACACATGTAGGAGTCCTCAAACATCACCTGCAGGATCAACATGCATCAGAACACAGTTTGATTCTGTGCAAACCGCATGTTGAGCTGCATGTAGCATACAAGCTTTACATGCAGATATATTACAGCGTGATGTAAGAGTACACACAGCCATGCATGGCTGTGCAAACACGTCGGTCATGAAGTCAGGATATTGAATCTCTCTGCGACTCTCACAGCTGATAAGATCCATACAGCACATTTCCTGTCCATGCAGCCCGTCGTGTTTGACCAGGACTGTATGTGATTTAATGACACGAGAAACAAACAGAGAGGAGGAGCTCCAAAACAGATTTTTTAAAGACGCTTTTCGAGAAATCTGGACTGAGAAACCCAAAATGATTATCCAAGAACCATAAGGCCCCAAACTCCCTGTTTTCCTCAAAGCGGCTCAGTTCGGTCCAGTTCAAATTTTGTGGTGCATGGTGTCGGGATCAGGCCTGCACTGAATGTTTTTACTGGGTTCCTTTTTCTCATTTTGTTTCGTAAATAAAAACACTTACAGTAGTTTACAAAAGAACATATATCACCAGATAGATCATAAGCAATTATTTATGGCTGATCTGTCATGCATCATTTATGGCTTCACTCAGGACTCTTTGATTGCACTTTGGATGTTGATATGTGTGTGTGTGTGTGTGTGTGTGTGTGTGTGTGTGTGTGTGTGTGTGTTTGTGCTGTCATTCTTGTGAGCTGTGTGTGCACTGATGCTTTTTACAAAACTGAAGTTCCTGACGGATAAATAAAGTTCTTTGAATGAATGGATAACATGAAACTGTGTTTTTGAGCAACACGAAAACAGCGCTGCAGTTACATAGTCTGTCCACCAGATGGCGCTGACTAGTCAACCTGAGGAGCAGGAAGAAATATACTGAGTAAACACCAGAAAAGTTTAGAAGTAGAAGAAAATGTACTTTGTTAATCCCACGAGAGGAAATTCTATTTTCACTCTCTAGTTGAGAAATGCTTCACACACACACAAATGCACACACAGGATCTTATGGACCTGAACTAATGGAGAGGCAGTGCTCAGGAAGACCCCTTTTCCACCAGACTGAACCTGGGGCTGGTTCTGGTCTAAGAACCAGTCTGCTTTTCCACGGGCAAAAGGGGCCACAAAAGAGCCACTTCAGTATGTCACTGAATACTGTGATTTCCCAGCAACACTTGCAAACGGTCTTCATCACAACAGAGGACTCCAGCATCTCCTTTCAAGTATTATAAAGTGTTTAAACTCGACAGGTCCAAAGAATTTGTTTTGCTGGTCAGGATTGTGATAGACGGCCAAACAGCAGGGAGACAGGTTGTTGCCCCCTCAGACCACTGCTGCTGAGCCTTGATGTCCTTTTTAAGTACTTCTTAAGATTTTTGTGAGAGGTCACATGTTTTTTGTTTTTTTTAATGGTGGTCACAACACCAGCATATTTTGTATGCTTTTATTTTGGTCACCAAAACCAATCCCCCAGCCCCTGATGTTAGCGATGCTTCTTGTAGACAGTAAAGAGTTGGTGCTACTCTGGAACTCAGACATGTGGAATACCCAGACATGGTCCGCACTGGGACTTGAACCGACAACCCTCTGGTTCCCAACAGACTGAGCTCCTGGTGAGTTATGTGTAGGATGAGAATAGAGGGAGAGCCACTGATAAAAACACAAACACACTCTGACGGACAGGAGACCATAAAGACAAATGAGACCGACAGGAAACACAAGCAAGGCGGCAAAAATTAAAGATGAAGAGAGAACAATAAATAAATCAAATCCACATTCATGTAAAACACAGAAACTCCCCTGAAACAGTTAAAGGGATACTTCACCCGATGAAACATGACTCTGTATTAACATTGGGTCATATATGTAGTAGAATTGTGAAATACATTTTGAAGTTGGTGCCTTCTTGGCCGAGAAAGGGCAGAAAGTGCCTTTTTGGCTCATGTTGATGAAAGACACCAAATCCCAGAACGCACAGCACCGCAGGCCGGGCTCCCGGCGAGCTGCGGTCTCGCTGCTATATTTATATTTATATTTCTTCTCCATTATCAGCTTTTTCCATAGAGCCTGTTAGCTTAGCTTCCAAGCAATATGGCGGACGTTAATTTTCGATTCTGGGAGTGAGTTCCCACCCATTGATCTGTGATTGGTCTGTAGCTTCAGTGGTCGAAAATATGAGGAACTAGCGTTGTAGATTCACCCCGCTAACCTCCGTTTTAGACTTAGAAATACAAAGATTTCCCATCTCAGGGGAAAATGAGGGTGGGATGCACGACCATTCAAAAGTACTACCAGGTTTCTAATGATACAAAGCTTAATGCAAATGGGTGAATATCCCTTTAAAGACCAACACCTGTTGCTCATCTCTTAGTCTGTGTCTCCCTCTGCTGGTCAGAGTCTGCACTGCATGGCAGCATCACACGAAAGACATCTTTCATTAAATTTTATTTTCATAACAATATTTCAGTCATAGTAGAAACTATTTATGTAACATCTGTTACTTCTGGTTTTTCTTTTTATGATTTTTTAGGGTAACTTAAGTGTGTGCATTGACTTGTACTGGTACTCTGCTGAGGTTTGATGTACCTGCTCTGATCTTTATAAACAGTCAGCGCTCTGATCCAGTGGCGCTGCATGACTCGCTCTTTATGTCTCAGTTCTTGGGACGTGTCCCTCTGCTGCCTCCTATCAGGCGGTGGACATATGTACTCTCTTGTATTGAAGAGAAGCTACTGAGCATGTGCAGCTTTTAAACAAGAGTTAATGAAGGTAGAGCGCTGATCTGAGCACCAGAGACCAGCGCCATGTCAGAGAACAGTAACTTTAGACACGTAGAACGTTTTTAATCTACTTCTTTATTGGAGATAAAACATTTTACTCAGTAGCTACATATTGTTTACTTCACCCTATTAAATTTGAACATGAATGTATTCTTTATTAAAAACTCTTATTCAGTTATTCTCCTTGAGGCGGGTGGGCGGCGCCTTAGCGCCCCCAGCCCCGCCCATAAACCCAGCACAGATAAAAAACATTTTAAGCTGGGTGACATTAAACATTAAACAGCTTCAGTCGACAGACCACACACGATGATGGGACGATCGCTGAAGTCAAAGAAGCTGTAGACGGCAATCTTTGTGAGCATGCTCACAAACTCTTCAAAGTCCACTTTACCGTCAAGGTTCTGGTCCATCCCAGCCAAGACCTCGCCCACCCTCACAGGGCACCTGCTGGCCTTTAAAGGGAGAAGAAGACAGAAGAGTCAAGCCTGTTAGTTTAACACAAAGGTCCCATGCAGAGAGAGAGAGATATAGAGAGAGAGAGAGAGAGAGAGAGAGTAGAGTACCGTCAGGAATTGCCCGAGTTCGGCATTGAACAGTTCCCTCATCTCGCGCCTGCTCAGGTAGTCGCCGTCACCGTCTCTGTGAGAGTGGCTTCTGAACACATCGATGAGCGTGTTCATGGCGTCCTCCAGGGGGCTCATCTTCTCTCTGACCAGTGTTGGGCTCATTGAATAACACATCCTGGTGAACCTGAAATAAAGAAACTCACATCATCTCTGCAGACATGTTCAGGATTTATGCAAAAGTTTGTGTGCAAAAACGATTGTCATCACAGCACATCAGAACGAGTTTAATTTTTTATTTTTTTTAAATCGTCTGGAGTATTGGATCCAGGATCTGGCATCTTAAAAATACTTGTGTCCATTTAAAAGCTTTTTAGTCACAGATGATTTATAATGTTTGACCTCGAAGCAACGCAGACGTCTTCGGGAGGAAATCGCTCTGCGCTGTTTGGACACAAGAAAAGATTTTGTTGAAATTGTTTTAAAACTTTAAGAGTGGTTCAATTTGAATACATTTTATCCACTTACACTGAAATGTGTCAGTGTGTTCGGGAGAAATCTTTTCTGCATATTATCCCAGCTCCCCCTTTCACAGAGTAAGATCTTTAACCCGTTCTTTTTTTTTTAAAGCGCCTCCTGGTGACAGTTGTTATGAAGTGGCGCTATACAAATAAAGGTTGATTGATTGAAATAAACAGAAAAAAAACAACTTTCTTGTCAGCACCCAGCTTGACTAGGACAAATAAAAACTTTAATGAGTTGAAAATGGGTCAAAACTTTGAATAAAGATCAAAACAAGATGTCGGGTACGCACATCCAAAGAAAAACACACACATGTGCTGGAGTGAAAATCAAACTTGAAGACAGGCGTCTTCTTCAGGGATCGTTGACAATGCCTGGAGAGTTTCTTTATGATCGAAGCGTCACGTTTCAAATTAAAGTTGCAGAGAGATTTGAATTCAGTGTGCGGATCCTGTTTCATTTCTTATTGCAACACAAGCGGCCAGAGTTCACTGTTATGTTAAGATATCTTAGTTATATGTGACAGAGTAGTGGACTGAAACATAATCTTTCTAAATGTAAAACCTCAAATGTCCCATATAATTATTAAAGTGCTATACTCACCTCAAGGTGCAGCTGAAGAAGATCAGAAGCTGAAGAAGATCAGAAGCAGAAATTACTTTCCCCTTCGTCTCATCTCTTTTTATAGAGCTCAGAGTCGAGATGAAATCTGATGATGTCATCAGTTTGGGTTTGGCTGTAACTGCAAACACAACGAGCGCCCTCATACAGCTGGGTGTGTCTCTAAGAGTTCATCTTGAGAGATTCAGCGATTTGATGTACAATCAGTGAGATGTGTAGAGAGTGACATGATAAAGTGAGCTTACTATCTGATCAGACATTAAGGAAACATGCTATGTTGAAGTGCTGGCTTCTCTGACAACAATGCAGCAGCCAGTATGTCCTCCTTCTAACTTTAGATTCTGGTCCTGAATGCTCTGGATTTGTTTGGACCAGAGAAGGTAGGCGGTTTTAAGACACCCCCGCATGGCCGCTTTGGACTCCCCTCGGTTTGTCAGATATGAGAGCAGTTATCAGGTCAAACCAATAGGTGTTGCAGCGATGGAAGCGGGCAAGAGAACTGGTTCAGATAGAAGTGATTGTACCCGACCTAAAAAGCCTCTGCATGTTTCTAATAAGCTCCACGAGCAGAAACGTGCTCAAACTAGGATCAATGTTGGAGATGTTTTTGAAAAATGGAGAGAGGTTAGAACGCAGAAAGGTTTACAGACTGATGCAGAGCTCTCTACAATGTTTAGAATTTGGACTGCAGTACCCATTTGAAACACTAGTCAGAGTTACATATTGCTCCTTTAATTGATTCAGGACCAGAATCTAAAGTTAGAAGAAGGACATACTGTCTGCTGCATTGTTGTCAGAGAATAATTTAGTAAGGACAGTTTATCATTTCATTCTACAATTCACTTAGCAGACGCTTTAATCCAAAGCGACGTACATCAGCAGATATTCTACAGACTGCTTCTTTACAATACAAATGTTGACCAGTAAAAGCAAATGGAATACTTATTCAAACATTTGCACAAAGTTCATGTCAGGCTGTTTTCTCTCAGCTGATGTCTTCACAGACGTTGACAATATCTCGGTCCTGCAGCACAAGCTGCCGATCAGATAAGATTCCTTTACAGTCCTGTGACCATCAGATACAACACCCGTCTGTCCGAGCTAATCTTGTTTCCATTCTGATCCAAACAGATGAACCACATGATGCCTCTTACTACCCGACACTCTCAGCCTGTGAAACCCTCTAACAGTCTGCAGTTCACAGAGTTCATCACCCGCACAATCCATACAGAGTATGTCCACATTGTCTGACCACGAGACGATAACTATCAACGCGACGTTTAGTCACCATGACAACAGAGGTGAATTAAGGTGCCAGTGTTGTGCAACCTGCAACATTTTTTTTGCATGCAATCAAACAACCACAAGCTTTATGACACACAGGCAGGTAGAAGATCAGCACAGGTGTCGGGAAGATGATCTCCACCATTGTACCCACAACCATTGCTGTTGATGCACTTCACACCAGATGTGAGTTTAAACATCTGTAAACATTGCATTCTTGTTGTTAGGCTACTTTTGTGCATTTGTGCATGTAATCAAACAACCACAGACTTTATTGTTTCTCGTTTATTAGGATCCCCCATACATACGGAGCACCCTACATTCAACATGGACCTTCATGTGAACAAGACAAAAACCACTTCATGACCATATTTGGAACCGGTTTTGTAACAGAGTCCAACTATGACAGCAAACGTCGACCTTTGGACAGGTTTCAGAGATGGTTGAATGCCGTCTTGGAGATATTTGCTTCATGCCTTTAATAGTTGAGATATAGGTTTTTGGCATGCCCACATGCCGAACAACTTGTTCCACAACAGAGGAGGAAAACCTCTGTTTAAAAAAATACCAGCCTTCATGTGAACGAGGCCCACATGTAGTTCTGTATTTTGGTGCTCTTCAGTTTCCAGCTGATGTCGCCCTCGTTCTAATTTCACCGTCCGGTTTGTTTGCCAGCTGACAGATTGTTTCACGAGCGAGGTTGTTTAAGCACTTACAAAACCTGCCTTGCCTTTCAAAAATGGCCGAATGCACATCATAAATTCAAAGATAGAGAGACAGCAACCATGAGGCGTGTGTTTAAAAAGAAACAAAGAAATCTGGGTTAGAGAGCACCACTCATCTCCACTCTGAGAGGAGATAGAAATTTATTATTTATTTGTTGATTTGTTGATTTGTTTATTCAAATAACTTTATTTATCCATTAGGAACTTCATTTGTGTAAAAGAGCATCAGTACGCATACAGCTAGACACAAAAACAACAGTAGAAACACACACATACAAGTGGCTCTATTAAAAGCATGATAAATAGGTCATAAATAATTGTTATGAGTGGTTAAATGAGTGGTCTTAAAAATAAATAAGAAATAGATCATTTTATTTATTTTGTATTATTATTTTTTTTTTCATTGTTAAAATATTTGATTGCTAATTATTACTTTTCATTATTGTATTATTTGTTATTATATGCTTTGGCAATATATTTTACACATTCATGCCAATAAAGCTATTTGAATTGAATTGAAAATAGAGATGTTAGTGAATCAGTAAGAGGTTTCAGTGCTCATACAGAATCACAGTCTGTCAACAACACAAGAGAACACAGGACAAAAAAGTCACTACCTCTGATGATGAGGTAATGAGTCAACACAGAGAGATGCCACCCAAAGCTACATATAAGCTTCCCACACCTGAAGTTAATCAGGGTTAATTAGACACACACACCTGATCCTGCACCGAGATGATTCCTCCACAGACTCCAGAGTGAGCCTGTTTTCTAAACCTCCTACTACACCAGTAGTTCGTCCTGATCGGTCCAAAATGCAGAATGAGAACAAAAGTGAGATCTGCAGTCTGGTCGGTTCTGATTCAGGTAAAATCTACAGTCTGCATCAGACCAGTCTGCATCAGACCAGTCTGCATCAGACCAGTCTGCATCAGACCAGTCTGCATCAGACCAGTCTGCATCAGACCAGTCTGCATCAGACCAGTCTGCATCAGACCAGTCTGCATCAGACCAGTCTGCATCAGACCAGTCTGCATCAGACCAGTCTGCCCTGCGTGCTGTTTTCCACAATGCAATATTCCAGGTCATAGGTCGATGCATTCTTTTGAGGGGAATTAAAGCTCTGGGTTTAAACCTTTCAATCTGAGTGGCTTACCTTCTTGTTTTCTGACTCCCAAGTTTTTGGCCTTGGCTGAATTATTTTGCTTAAGCAGGCCGTAACAGCTTAAAAGCCCTTTTTCCATCGAGTGGATTTGCCCTCTGCTGAACATTAGAAAGAACGCAGTTCCAAAAGCCCTTCTGCACAGACTTCTCTTTTAGTTAAATAAAGGATATAAGACCACCTCTTATATCCAGTCTATGGAGAGAACAGAGTCATCTCCCTGCAGGTGCCTCTGACAGACACTTGATGGCACTCTTGAAGTGTGGTTGTCATGCAGCTGGCTGACTCCTGACTTCCCTCTCTGAGTCTCCTCTTCTCTGCCCAACAAAGCGTATCTCTGCTTTGCATTTTGCAGTCGGTGCTCACGGCTGCAGTATCAGGCCACCGACCGGAGCTTGTGTTTCTGACGACTTTGAGCATAAAAGGCTGTCAGACAAGCCGCTGTTACATAATTGAAGACGCTTCACGACTTTGTAAGGGCCTGTATTGAGTTCCTCCAGACCGCATTGTGTGCAGTGAGTCCTGCCGAGGGGGCATGTTTAATGCTTCTTTGGCGTGCGTGTCTCGATGAATACAAAGGATGTAAAGCCCCCCTTCAGTCGGGCTGTGACACCCCATCAGAGTCCGCGCCGCCCGTTTGAGTCAAGCTGTGCTTTTATGAAGCTGCTCCAATCAGTTTCACCTCTCTACCTGTTTGAAAATCATCTCCGCAGAGTGAAATGTCAAAACATGTCCTTCACAAGAACTTTTCAAATGTCGACATTCAGAGACATAAAAGGTCTTCACCGACACTTTCTGTATCTTAGTGTCTGTCAAGGCTTTGAAATGAAAACCAAGTCCGGTCACTTCTATGAGAGTGCTTCAAAGAAGCGGGTTTCAATCAGAATTTAGAGCTTTAAACTAAATATTTGGTTTGAATGTGTCCTCAGACAACGATCAGTGTTGCCAGGTCTGCTTGTTATAAGCGACTTTGGGCTCGTTTTTCTGTAAAGTCGCTAGCAAATATCGTCAGTCGTGGGTTGCGGGTTTTTGGCTTGTGTAGTTGCTTGTTTGGGCTTGCTTTGCTCCCCACTGATTCATTCCCAACTCTCCACAATAGAGCAAAACACAATTGCGATGATTTGTCCTTTTCCAGGATCCGTCCACAACCTTGTTTCCTTGGTTAGCCCGCCCGCCCGATCTGACACGCACCAAAATCCATGAGGCTTACGGACATCGATTTCACTGTTTCAAATCAAAATGAGACAAGACAAACACAAATAAATATACTGTATATATCTGGATATGTATACTGCTATCAAGTGGCCTCTCTTTTACACTATGTGGTAGGTTAGGTAACCTGTTGGGCTTCATTTTATTTATTTGAGGAGCCAGGTCACTTGTTTTGGGCTTTGAGCTGGTTGCTTGTTTCTCTCGCGAGAACTGGCAACACTGACAAGGACTGATATTCGTCCATAAAGATGTGCACAAACCTAAAAGGGACTGATATGTCATCACTTGTCACGATAAACCGCCTCTCTGTCCCCGCTCCTCTTTGTTGTTTTGTTATGTTTTGTATACTGCTGTCGATCATTGGACAGTTTCATCATGAATAAATCCACTCTTGTTTTTACTTTCACAGTTTTTTTAAATCCTCAACATGTGCCATATTAATATGCAAAACAAGCTACTAGCAGCTTGTTGGAAAACAACCCAAATAGTGGATTGAGGATTCTAGGGGGGCCACGTCAGACTCCAGGCGGGGCCTCGGCCACCCGGGCACCCCCTTGGTCTGTCCCCTTGGTCCGCCCCTACCGCCAAGATCAAATAACTTGAGCTCATCCAGCTCGTTCCGCTCATCACTACACAGACAGAGGCATCTATTACGCAGCTTTATGGACCCATACAGAAGACAACTACATTTTCACTTTGCTCAGTTTAAGCCAGATGTTGACACTCAACACAACTGGAGCTCGAGCGTTTGTTTACCGTCTCAGGATTACACACGATGATCGCTTGCAGAGGATGCGTCTTTGTGCAGCTGGCATCGATGTTTTCTGTCTCTTAAAGTGACAGTTTTAAAGTTAGATCGCTCCGTTATGATGCAATCCAACAGCACAACAAGACATGTTCCCCTCGTACCAGGGATCTGGTTTCTCAGTTTAGGTCTCCTTTAATGTTCGGGCAACAATCTGTCTAACCCATCATATTGTGGGTCAAACTGAAAACTGGTCTCGAGGGTTTGAGTCCTGCATGTTTGACCCTTCTTTCTCCCCTGAAGGCCAAACTGACTGAACCAATCTTTGATACGGTGGACTTCGCTGTTGCTCTAAGTGCTGCAGATGGGCACAAATGGACGGACTGTCCTGAGGGGTTTTATGTAAATAACGGTGCATTAATTTGAGTGGGATAAAGGAAAAACTGTGTAATTCAGAATCAGAATCAGAATCAGAATTGGGGTTTATTGCCAAGTACATTTACACATACAAGGAATTTGACTTGGTGTATTGGTGCTAAACAATTAACAAGGAAATAAAGCAGAACTAGCAATAACTTAAATAATACAGTATAAGAAGCTATTACAATATATAAAATAGAATTTAAAAATGTAAAATGTAAAATGTAAAATGTAAAATATAAAAAATTTAAAATTAAAAAACACAAAATGTACAAAGGGTGCAATGTGGACTATGAGAAAAAATCTTAGTGTGTGTAACTACTCACAGAGTGCATGTTAGGAAGATACATTTTTAAAGTCCAGTGGGCGTTAATGTAACGCACAAAGAAAAGTTCAGCATTCGCATTACTTTGATGTTTTACTGACTGTGGGGCTGATGAGAGTCTTGGTTATGTGGGAGAGGATGGTGTTGACCTTATGAACTTGGGTGTTTGTACAGAATGGGTCCCCTTACGATACGATACACTTCATTGTCCCCTTGGGGAAATTTGTCCTGGACTCAAAGAGCTGCCAAACATTCAGCTGCTTCCACTCGAGTCAATACATAAAAACAATTGAAAAGCACATCCACACTAATGCAAGACCACACAAGATCTGCAAAAACACAGCATGCGAGATAAGAGAATATAAAAACATATAGGAACACCATGAAGGTAGTGCACACATAGCCTCACAAACAAACATAACTCAGAATTTTGATTGACGCAGGTTGACCCCTCTAGAGGCTTCTGTGTCTCACTTGGTAGAGTCGGTGGTCTCTCAACCGGAAGGTCGGGAGTTCAATCCTCAGCTCCTGGAAACTGGGCCGCTTTGAATGAGGTGATTGGATTGGTTAAGCTTCTGCAGAAACACATTTCTTTGAAATTACACTCTTTAATAGACTTATGTTATGTTTTATAGATAATGTTTGAACCCAGAAATGAAAGCAGAACCACGGTGGTGGGACTCGGGAGCTGCAGACTGAGTGAAATGTGTTTATGATTCCTGCAGCTCGGTCCCATTTCCCCGACTCATTTCAGAGGAACTGTGTTACTGAATCACTCAGGAAACTAAGTCATCAAGCACCTGAGCGCACAGTAATGCAGAAAGGCGGAACCAATTTAGTGGGAAATTCAAATGGTTTGCAAATGCACTTGTAATTGTATAAAAGCTTTGCCTGGCTGCTCTGCGTATAGCTTCAATAAATGTCTGTGTTATCTGCCATGCAAAGTGACTTCACAGCACGGGTTCTGTAAATGAGCGGCCATTACGTGTCTGATGAATGAAGGCTGATGTCTCACAGCCTCGTGTTTCTTTGAATTACAGCTTCAGACGAGCAGAGCGGCTTGTGAGTGGACGGGGAGGGAGGGATCACGTCAGGACCAGCAGGCTGAAACAGAGCGGTTGCGAGTTATGGCTCAAAATGCTCCACTGGACTTACATTAAAGGGGTTCCCTGTTACTCTTAGATGTTTTCTGAAAGTTTTAATAGAAAGATGGAACAGAATGTCAGTTTTTGCAAACATTTGCCCCCCCCCCCTCCTCTCAGAGTGCGGCTGTATTTGCAGCCTCAGAGCACAACTTTTTCAAACAAACAAACTGAGATGAAGACGCAGCAGAGAAAGTGAGAATAATGACAATTAGAGTAATTCAGACGCAGCTCAACATATTTATTGTTTACTCTGGTAGGCATCTCCTTTTAGAGTTAATGCATCATTGATTTTTAAATCGGTGAACATATGAGTCATAAAGCGCCTGGTGCACAAATGTGATGCAACCTTCAGAGACCTCGGAAAACAAATTAATCGGTTTGCAAACGCGCTTATAAAAGTATAAAAGCCCCAGATGTTTTTCGTTAACTTCCGGAATAAATGTTGTTTTTATCTGCGTGAAGTGACTTCATGGTACTCTCTCTCCCTCTCTCTCTCCCTCTCTCGTTCGCTCTCTGTCTCTCTCCCTCTCTCTGAAGAATAAAGAGTCTCACAGGCTTCAGGACTGACATCATTTTAAAGCCTCTGATCAGTTTTTTTTAAACTCAGCAAATGAGGAGCTGAGCAGCTGGATTGGTAGGAGGGGATGATGTCACGACCTCTCAATCAGTCCGTCATTACCTCCAGCTGACGCCAGGTGATGCTAGAGAGCAAGCTCCCAATTTCAGTCTCATTTGATTTCCTGTGAAACCTGATGAACATATGTGGACACAAGCCCACCTACCAAAACATCTGGTCCCATTAAAGGCCCGGTGAAATTTAAATGCATTGACCCAGAATGCAGAATCCCACTGTGACATCACAAGGAGAGCACATTTGAAACAGAGCATTTTTCAGTGTTGCAAGACTTATACAGACCACAAAGGACTGGATGGGTTTATTTCACATTGTGTGGGTCTGTAGACACTCAGGTTACCCATATATGTTCAACAACACTGTACAAGTGGATTTCTCAGAATATGTCCCCTTTAAGGCAGAAACCTATGGCTGCAGATGTTCTGCCTGATGTTTGTGTGGCTGATCTTGACAAACATTTGCTGTTCAGATTTGTTAATTGCGTCTTTTAATATCTAGTGATGGGTTTTTTTATTCATACGTTTGCTGCTCGTTGTTCGTGTGTGAAACTCTGTTATTGGTGCTGCAGCAAACAGGGACAGTTTTATGTCATCTGTCAAATTAAGACAAAGAAAACAGTCAATTAAAACAGAGACATGCATGAAGAGCGTAACATCTTTATTAAAGATGAAGACTTATCGAGTTAACAGTGAAGTGTATTCAGCATCATGACATCCAACCACACAGTTTACAGTTTTTAAATGACATCTTGAAGACAAGGTTTGTCATCCTTCTGGACTGATGGAGCTGCATTAATGAAAAACTCATTGCAGGCGACAGTGAGAGCAGCAACCAGAACGACGAACTCCTGGAACTCCACCTCGCCGTCTTTGTTTTCGTCCAGGTCAGACATGATCTTATCCACCACCATCGGGTCCTTGCTGGCCTGAAACAGACATACAAGAGGTTTTGGCACAAATTCAAAAGCTCTGCATCGGTCTGTAAACCGTTCTGTGTTCTAACCTCTCTCCATTTTTCAAAAGCATCTCCAATATTGATCCTAGTTTGAACACGTTTCTGCTCGTGGAACTTATTAGAAACATGCAGAGTCTTTTTAGGTCGGGTACAATCACTTCTATCTGAACCAGTTCTCTTGCCCGCTTCCATCGCTGCAACACCTGTTGACCTGATAACTGCTCTCATATCTGGCAAACCGAGGGGCGCCCATAACGGCCGTGTGGGGGTGCCTTAAAACCGCCTACCTTCTCTGGTCCAAACAAACCCAGAGCATTCAGGACCAGAATCTAAAGTTAGGAGGAGGACATACTGGCTGCTGCATTGTTGTCAGAGAAGCCAGCACTTCAACATGGCATGTTTCCTTAATGTCTGATCATGTAGTAAGGTCACTTTATCATGTCACTCTCTACACATCTCACTGGTTATCTTTGGTTCTTACAGCTTCATCACTCCCGTTCTAGTTCACGAGGAACAAATCATCACGAGTCAACCAGATACTCACAGACAGGAAGATTTCCGAGAGTTCCCCCTGCAAGAGGTTCTTCAGCTCCGCTTTGCTCAGCTTGTACTTGTCTCCTTCTTTCCCAGAGTACGAGTGGAACACTTTGATGAGGTCCTCCATCGCGGACTGCAGCTGGGAACACATGATCGAGTCCTACAGTGGATGCCTGGAATTACAAAGTGAGAGGGTCGTTAGTGAAATGCCCTTAATAATTATGAACTCAGTTCAGGTTTAAAGTGGGGCAGTCAAATTACTACAATAGTAAAATCACACATTGCATTTCAAATGAAAAACGGTTAGGCTTTTCTTTAGAATTTTTATGCTGTCTTAAGATGAGTACTTTACTTCCTGTCTGATTTTATTTTGAAATAAAGTAAGGCCCTTCCTGTAGATGGAAGGTTAGGACATTAAGTTCAGCACAGAAACAGGAAGTTGTTAGGGATCCCAAAATGAGGTCAAACAGCTCAAAGGAACGGTAACAAAATGTCAATGTGTGAGGTCATAGGTGGATATTACTTTGGACTCATCACAATCAGAATGTTTTAGTGTCAACACATCTCTGTCCTGTCCTAAGAAACAGAAGAGCAAAGCATAAATATCAGGGCTTTCAGAATTAGACGCTTTAATCAGGATGAAAATAATAAAATGCGCTAAAATTAATCAGTTTGTGTCAGTCCAAGCTTTCATTACAGAAGCCGATATGTTCTAAATTAATCTGAAGGCTCTGAAAGTCACAGGTTGCTTCGAGTCATGTCCGTGAAATCAGTTGAAACATCTACCGACACCTGAGAGCTACTGCACGGGGGGGGGGGGCTGAGTCATTCCACCCCCCACCTCCATGAACCAGCGGAGGACAAAGGGACGACCTCCTGCTGATACAGATCTCTGGCTTGCATTAAGTAACATTAACTAGCTGCTGAGGTTTGAGCGTCTCATTTCATCATTCAGACTTGTCAGATTGTTATCAATGGATATGAGGAGAGACGTGCTCTCATCAATGATGCAGCTCCTCCACCTGTCTGTGTGGGAGAGTAAACAGCTCCAAATCTGCAGATACGCTGCATCCCTCTCCCGACTGAAGCTACGCCATGTTCCCTTCATCAGCCTCCATAATTGCTCTAAATCATTTATTCCTGCTGCGATCAGGGAGCTCATTAGACGTCTTTGAATGTCGAATGCAAAGCTGGTGTTAATTAATTGATTCAGAGAGTAAAGCAGGAGCATGCAGACTTCAAATGTCAGTCTCATCAGAATGATAATAATGTTAGCTGTTATTCCAGAACTGTCTCTCAGATCTTTTTAAAAATGTCATAGTGAATAAAATGAACCCAAAGAGCAGGAACTCACCTGAAGTCTGCTGCTGACAGGGTGCTGGTCTGATGGAAGTGGCTGCAGCTCTCTTCTCATCAGTTATATTGGCTCCTCTCACCTGTGTGCAGAATCTCAGAGGCCCCTCCCCCCCCCCACCTCCTGGACAGCACTCACCTCACCTGCTGCAGTTGCACAGATGACCCTCCAGGCCATGTAAGGCAACAGCAGAGAGCTTTATGGCACCTGCACAGCACAGAAGGCCTTCTTTGTTTCCGTCTCTAAGAGCTCAGCTGTGACGTCAGGAAGACGGAAAGTTAGGAAAACGCACACGGATGCAGAGATCAAGAGAGGAGACATCGATGTATTTCTTTATTGTACGAGTCTGCAAATATGGCTGACATGTTAGTGAACCATGTCACATTTTAATATCTAATACTGTGCCCCCTGGTGAGCCGTGTACGTACTGCAGGTGGGCCGCGAAAAGCCCTCCACCAAGTATAGAAATAAAATAAATATCACAATAATGATGATTTACCATGAGCCAACCCTTTAAGTGATTAATAAGGCCTGTCATGACTATTCATGGACATAATATCATATGATAATCATATCATGATCATATGATAAGATGATTAAGTTTGGGAAAGGCTGCTCTAATTGAATATTTACTTGGGCTTTTTAATTGTTGTTGTCTTTATTGTTTATTTCATTGTCAGTATTTGTGTGTGTGGACACACATGTATGAGTGAGGTTGCTCCTTGTCAGAGCTCAGGCTCAGAGAGTTGAACAAACACGGAGCGCACGCAGTTTAAAAGTTATTTAAACCATCATTTAATGACAACAAGTCGATAAAGTCTATAAATCAGTTATGGTTGCCATGGTGAATGTTTGTGGTGTTGAGGAGGCAAAACAAAAACAACAAACCAAAGTTGTTGATAACAAGAGAGAGAAGCCAGCCCAGCCTGCCCAGGTGCATGACATCAAATTAACAGGCTCCGCCCCTTTATACCTGAAGGCAACCTAAGTGGGGAGAGACACATGTTCCATGTACAGCACTTTGATCAGCTGTTTTTAAATGTGCTTTATAAATGAATATGATTATTGAATATAATCAAATTACCCTTTTATCATTTCACAAATAAAGACACAAACCTGCAGCTATGTGGTGTTTTTTATTTTACCGCACATGTTAGACTGTTTCTGCATCAGCGCAGTGACTCAGTTCAGCTGGTGTAATACTGTTGTCCCAGTCTGTGAATTCCCATTGATCCACCAGGACATGTAGCGACAGTAGGAGCTCCACACACACACACACACACACACACACACACACACACACACACACACACTGATATGCACCTAGCTGCTGTGAGGCATGAAGGTGATGCAATCATAAGTATGCAAAAAACTCAAATACATGTCTGTAGTGAGCTGCAGGAATAAATGTTGAATTTATCTTAGTGTCAAAGTGACTTCATCATACTCTCTCTCTCTCTCTCTTTCTCCCTCTCTCTCTCTTTCTCCCTCTCTCCCTCTCTCTCCTCTCTCTCTCTCTCCCTCTCTCTCTCCCTCCCTCTCTCCCTCTCTCTCTCCCTCTCTCTCCCTCTCTCTCTCTCTTTCTCCTCTCTCTCTCTTTCTCCCTCTCTCCCTCTCTCTCTCCCGCTCTCTCTCCCTCTCTCTCTCTCTCTCTTCCTCCTCTCTCTCTGTCACTCTCTCTCCCTCTCCCTCTCCCTCTCTCCCTCTCTCTCTCTCTCTCTCTCTCTCTCTCTCTCTCTCTCTCTCTCTCTCTTCCTCTCAATTCAATTCAATTTAAATGAGCTTTATTATCATGACAGATCAACAATCCATGTTGCCAAAGCAGTACAGAAAACATTTTGATCAACAAATGATTACAATATATACAGTAAACAAATATAACAAATATAAATAAAAAACATTAACAATAATACAAATCATTTTTAGGGTGTATTTCTAAGAAACATTCAGTGTATTTTGTCTCAGTATGTGACAATCATAAACATATTTAACAGCTCGTTCTGCACACAGACAGATAGAGCAGCTTCTGATGATCAGGGAGATGGAGAAAGTCAGGATATTTATTATCAATGTCATTAAAGAGAGCCTCTCTTAAATCTTTATACATGTCACAGTGTCGGAGGAAATGACATTCTGATGACAGAGTGAACACAGCCTGGTCTCTCTGGGTAACCAGTTCTGTCTGTGACGACCTGTTTCTATGGTCAGACTGAGTCCACTCAGTCTGTACATCGTCATGGTTTTCCTTAGCTTCACATCCCTCACTGTGCTCAGGTACTCTGCCAGCTTGTACTCTCTGTTTAGGCTCAAATAGAATTCTAATTTACTTTCTGACTTGGTGCTCTCCTTCCAATATATGCTATAATTGTCTTTTTGTTTTGAGATAATTTGGTTGGGCCAGATTGTTTGGGGTGTTTCCTGAAGCCCTGGTGTTTGAGGGCGGAGCTTCAGGATCAGCTGGCAGAAGGGACTCTTATCTGGGTTCAACTCTTGGCACTGAAGGGCTTTGAACTGGTAGGAGTGGGGGTCACTGGATTGGAGGTGTTTATAGAATGTGATGGCTCTCTTTTGGATATTAATGATTAAAGGGTATTGGCTGAGTTCTGTGGACTCTCAGGATGTTTCTACACAGTTCTGCATGCAGGGCTTCCAGCGGGTGTTTTTCCCATTTGGGGAAGTCTTGGTTGGTTAATGGGCCTCATACTTCACTACCATTTAAAATGATTGGGTCTATTATTGAATTGAGAATTTTGAGCCAGGTCCTAATTGGAATGTCAATCTGAATTTTTCTTTTGATGGCATACAAAGTCCTTCTTCCTCTCTCTTTCAGCTCATTCACAGCCATGCCAAAATGTCCAGTGGGAGTGATGACTAAGTCTAAATATGTGTATTGTTTGGTGTGCTGGATTTTTATGTTTCCTAATATGAATGTGTTTCTCTGAGAGTTGGATCTGCTTTGGAAGGTCATTATTTTGGTCTTGTTCATATTGACAGTAAGTGCCCATGTTTGTTTTTTCACCTCTCTCCCTCTCTCTCTCTCTCTCTTCCTCCCTCTCTCTCACTCTCTCCTTCTCTCTCTCTCTCTCTCTCTCTCTCTCCCTCTCTCTCTCGCTGATGAATGAAAGAGTCTCACAGGCTTCAGGACTGACGTCATTTTAACCCTCTGACCAGTTTCTTTAAAATTCAGAACAAAAGAGGAGGAGCTGAGGAGCTGAAGGAGCAGCTGGATTGGTCAGAGGGGATGACGTCACAACCTCTCAATCGGTCTCTCATAGATTACCTCCTCCCGACACTAGGTGGTGCTCGAGCTTTCCAACGAGCTCAGCATGTTGTATTCATTTTGATTCACTGTGAAACCTGATGAATATATGCGGAAGTAAACCTGACAACGTGAAGCCTTTTCTACTTCAGACGCTGCAAACAGGCCTGAGGGGACAGAGTGATTCATAGAGTCATCTCTGTCAAATGAAGAGGAAAAAAACACAAATAGACGTGCATGAAGAGCGGGACATCTTTATTCAGATTTAACAGTGATCTCTCTTTTGCAACAACACAAGGTACTGTCGGTGTTTAAGGTTTCTAATTATGTCAAGGGAAGGTTGTAGAATATGATCATCCCGTCGAAGCATGGTGCAGCTATTTGCCTTTTTTCTTATCCATGTCAACAAAGAATTCATTGCAGAGGACAGTGAGTCCAACGGCCACAGCTGCGAACTCTGCGAAGTCCACTTCACCATCATCGTTTAGATCCAGGGCACCCAAGAGTTTCTCGAGCTCCCCGGGATCTTTGCATTCCTGAAACAGAAGATAAGATAAGACAAGACAAGATAAGATAATCCTTTATTTATAGTCATGTAAATATTAGTCTTTTCTTATTATGTTTATTGTTCATATTTAATTCCTTGTGTGTGTAAGCATAGCTGGCCAATAAATCTGATTCTGTTTCTGATTCTGATTTAGGGGTTAATCACTCCAGAGAGAATCCCTCCCATGATTCCCCGCCAGCCAAGACGACATATTTTGTTATTGTTTTGATTGAGAGCCCCCTGGTGGCGGAATTTACATACTGTGCCTTTAAATAAATGAGAAGATGAAAACACACAAAATCATGTGGAACAAATCACCAAGAGTCAACATGTTGAAGCTTGATCCAAAGCAAACTGGACTTAAATCTTTAAGATCTCTTCAAGATCTAAGTCCTACTTAAATCTTTAAGATCTCTTCAAGATCTAAGTCCAGCTGCCCTGGGATCAGGCTTCGCTTTACCGTGACCTGGATGGGTGACGGAGAACCTGCACAGACTGGAGTCAACGAGATACCCACCGCCATTAATTCGGCGAGTTCCACCTGCAGCAGGTTCTTCAGCTCCCCTCTGCTCAGCTTGTACTTGTCACCTTCTTTTCCAGAGTAGGTATGAAACACTGTGATGAGGTCGATCATACATTGCTGCAGTTTGGAAGTCATGTTTCTGTCGTACAGTTGAAGCCTGGAAGAAGAAACAAACAAAGTTAAAATATTAACTTTCAGGAGCAGGACAACGCCTAAGCACGCTTTCAATCACCTGACAAGCCCACTCACACCGAGCCATCCCACACCACTCTGTTTGTCTCAGTTCTAACCAACCTCCCTCCCCCCTCCTCCCTCTCATCCATCCCCCTTCCTTCCTCATCCTTTTGACGTCGAACGAGTGTTTCTGTGAGTTTTTTGTTTGGACTTTCTTTTACACAGCTGAGCGAGAGGAAATATCCAGAACGCAAGAGAGAGAGAGAGAGAACTTCTAGAAGCATCATTTTATTCACAAAAAACTTAAGTAGATATAAAGCAAGGCAAGGCAAGTTTATTTCTATAGCACATTTCAACAACAAGGCAATTCAAAGTGCTTCACACAAGACATCAAAAGGCATCATGACAGAGGAAAGAAAAGAAACATTAAAATAGAAAATGTAAAAATCACTGAAATTATTAAATCTGAAAATATATTCAAATAAAAATAACTCAAATTAAATTAATTGAAGTAAAAATATAAAAAGAGTTAAAAGTTACAGTGCAGAGTGAGAGTGAGAGTTTAAAATCATACTAAAATTGTTTAATTAAAGGCAGCTGTAAACAGGTGTGTCTTCAACCTCGATTTAAAAGAGCTGAGAGTCTGTATAAACATTTCAATTCTTAGACATTCAAGAAGCAGAGTCGGGTTTTTCTACCACGGTGCATGAAGAGCGGGCGGTTCAAACAGGTCAAACGTCTCCAGCAGCTCGGGGAGTATGAAGATGAGGGTCGACCCCGATGAAGGCCACACACTGAAGCACGTCAGTCTAATAAAGTTAATTAAGTTGATCTTCATACTACAAGTGCTGCTGGAGCGTTTTTGACCTCTTCACTTCTTAGACATTCACCAGGTTAGTCTTGATAACGGCTGCTATAATCTGAACTCCCGCTGCAACCAGGGAGCTCATTAAACGCCTCTCTCAGTGTCGACTGCAAAGCTTGAGTTAGCTAACTGTGGAAGAAGGTCGAGCGTGAACTTTTAGGATGCCTGTCACTTAAACATTACAATAATTGAAGCCGGACTGCAGGGACTCACCTGAACTCTCGCTGCTGAAAGGTGCTGGAGTGATGGAGGTGACCGCCACTCTCAGCTCCTACGTTATATCGGCTCCTCTCACCTTTGTGCAAACAGATGACAATCTCAGAGTGCATCCCAAACAAGCAGTAGCTGCGTCACCTGCTGCACTTACCTGGAAGCGGAGGTGAGACTTCAGGCCATGTAAGGCAACAGCAGCCGTTTTATGGCTCCTACACAGCACACAGTCTGCCCCAGTTTTCCTGTGAACTCTTGACCCTATCCACACAAGACCATGAGCTGTGCCCATATAAGAGTGACTGTAAAGCATGTAAAACTCCAAGGAAGATAAAGAGTTAATGTCGTGCATTATTGGAACATGCAGAGAAAGAGAGAGAGGGAGGAGGAGACACCTGTTGGTTTCTTTATGCAAGGCAAGGCAAGTTTATTTCTGTAGCACATTTCAACAACAAGGCAATTCAAAGTGCTTCACACAAGACATCAAAAGGCATCATGACAGAGGAAAGAAAATATACATTAAAATAGAACATTTAAAATTCACTGAAATTATTAAATCTGAATCTAAAAGTAATAATAATTACAGTGCAGAGTGAAAGTTTAAATCTTATTAAAGCTGTTTAATGAAAGGCAGCTGTAAACAGGTGTGTCTTCAGCCTCAATTTAAAAGAGCTGAGAGTTTCAGCAGACCTGCAGTTTTCTGGGAGTTTGTTCCAGATATAAGGAGCATAGAAACTGAACGCTGCTTCTCCGTGTTTGGTTCTGACTCTGGGGACAGAGGGCAGACCTGTCCCAGACGACCTAAGCGGTGTGGATGGTTCGTAATTAATCAGGAGGTCACTAATGTATTTTGGCCTTAAACCATTCAGCGCTTTATAAACCAGCAGCAAGATTTTAAAATCTATTCTCTGACAGACTGGGAGCCAGTGTAAAGACCTCAGAACTGGACTGATGTGATCCATTTTCTTGGTTTTGGTGAGGACTCTAGCAGCAGCGTTCTGGATCAGCTGCAGACCTCCAGCTATATGAGTGTTCAGATTAAAGGCTCAACTTGAAGAAAACTATTCCCCATTTAAACATCTAAAACTGTGCAACAATTAACATCTTAAATCATATTTTCCACCATACTGTGCATTTGTATTTGGGGATGAATGTGAACATGTTGATATAGGTCATCCAGTGTTAAGAGCATCACATCTGGCAGTCAAGAGGGATGACATAAACGGGGTTACGTATGTAATTATGGTTCTATGAATCCAGGAGGACCCTCGGATCTGGCACTCGATCGTTGTGGCTTCATGAGAAGAGAGAAGATTCTGCAGGAACAGATCCTCCAATGGCACTGGATAACAGACGATCCCAGGGTCATCAGGGGTCACAAGGTGGGTATATATACTCAACCTGCAGATATCACAGAATGTAAAGATGAATGTTTGAAGACTCGGTGACGTCACCCGTCTGTTCCTGCAGGGGGCGCTGGAGTCCTATCGATGGCGGTCTCCATGCTGGAAATGCTGTCTCAACCTTACCTTCAGTCAACCTAACGACAGGCTGAGAGCTGGAGCTGAGGCGGGATTTAAGCCTCCTGACAAACCGTTACACGGCGCCCACCTGTCAATAAGGTCAGCTACACGCCTTATTGTGGATAACTCTTATCCTTCATCAAATCAAAACGGATGAGTCATCAAAACAATCACAGTGTACAGTGTGTGTCGATCGAGACATGAGCTAATCAGACCGGTTTGGTTTTTTGAACCAGGCTGTAAACATGTTAATCTCTGCTGTAAAAACAGGCTTTTTAGAATGGGTGTGTATGTGACTTCCTGTGCTTCTGCAGCCAGCCTCTAGTGGACACTCAATGAACTGCAGGGTTTTGCATTTTTAAACAGTGCAGATACATTATATTTCATTCAGTGTATAAAGAAGCGCCTCTGGCTGTCTCATGATCCATAGACCCTTCATTTGTTTTAAATAACTGATTTTTTCCCCCTCTGCGCTCAGCTAAAGCAGTTTGCCAAAAACTAGAGGTCTGAAGTTTCTGGATCCCTGAGTGACATTTTCCTTTAACACTGCAGAAACATATTCATGAAGCTGGATGAAACATTTTCTTTATATTTCATTGCAGAGTTTCTTCCTGTGCTCATTTCACTATAGGCTTAACTTCCACTTACTGTGTGACTAATGCTTTCCTGCAGCATCATTTGCAATTAAGGGAGTGATTGTGCTTGAAACAATCTACTTGCAGCGCAAAGTAAGCACAGGCCAGCGGTCTAAAGTGCTCTGTTCAGTGGATGCAAACCCAGGGTTGATTTACATCACTATCTCCAGTATGAGCAGTTTGAAGACATTTGCATGACTCTTGTTAAAAATTAAACTTCAGGCCTCGTTCCTCCAAAGCAAATAACTTCATAATGGAACAATGCAGAGAAGCAAACATCACAGCACTTATGCGATCATTTAGTGGCTTTTATGCTTTCCACAATAAAGCAGAAATGTATTTAATAAACACTGCGTTCTGTTTTTTTTTATTTCTGAAAATCTCAGTTGAGTGATTTCCATGGTCTTACTTCGCTGGCTGACGAGGGCCACAGACCTGCAATGACTGATAGGACTTTCAGTAGAAAAACTGAGCAACTTCAGAAACGTTAAGAATTAAAAATGACTGAAACGTGCTGCAGAATGCCCAAACAACATCACACACCCGGACAAATACATAAACAATGTAAGATATAAAAAAATACATATTCAGAGAATGTGAATATAGACAAACTCTTCAAATCAGTCTTCAGCAAAGGTGCTCCAGGTCTGTAGGGGGCGCTCATTAGAACAGTTTCTTATTAATGGGAGAGAGTGAGGGAACGAATTGGGAGGCAAAGTTTGATAAGTTTGATGATGAAGAGCAACTTAAGCTAGTCTGGCCTGGACTCACACACGGGAGATGAGACAGCTGGGGGCGGGCCAGATAACGCAGGGATGCATGGAGCTAGCTGCAGAGCTAACTGAGCTCCGCTGCAACCTCCCCACTTTGGCTTTGGATTGCGCGTGATTAGAGTTGCAAGGCCTGCAGTGGGAGATGTGACCAGTCCCAGTGTTTCTCCCAAGACCAAAAGAATCCACAATCACAATAAAAACAGCAGCAGCACTCCTTAAAAAAATATACTGATCAATATAAATGTAAAAACATGCAGCTACAGGCTGATAACATCACATGAATATAAAACATCCAGATCACTTTGGTGTCAGAGAGCTTCAACCGTCTCTCTGCGGGGCGGTCAGCACAAACAGCCTGAATATAAAAAGTTAGAGGGTGCCCACTGCTGGCCGATACAGACTCTGCAAAAGGCCTCACATTCAAACAAATGAATACGAGTATGAGGAGAAGAAGTCCCTGTTTGACCTTTTTCATCTCCCTTTGGTATCAGGTGAGTTCTGTATAAAAAGTTCCCTGAAGGTTTTAAAGGAGCTGGTTGAACATATTTAAGTTTAATTCATCCAGACAGAAAAATAACAGAGCTACCTCTGAGCTAAGCTGCACAACAACAATCTTAAAACAACAAAGATGTCCTCTCTGTCCCTCTGCACGGCTCAATCTTAAAATGTTATAGACTTCATCTGTATTTGTGTTTTGTTAACTTGGGCTTTCTTCTTCTTTGTGTCACCCAATCATTTTCTCCAAGGTGGGCCATGCACATCGTTAGGTGTAACAGGAACAGGAGAGTTTGAACTTTCATGATCTCATACCTCAGAGGGCCGAGTCTGTAACCGAGCCGTGTGCGATCACAATGCGCCTCCTGTCATCACTTCCGCCTGGCACCTCTCTTGTTATCCGGAGAGCCACACGGGGAGATCTCGTTTGAGCTGTCAAGCTTTCTTTTTTTTTTTTTGGCCTGTCAGCGCCTGTCAGCAGGGCGCCCGGCCCGAGCACACTCAGAGGGAGAGCGGAGCAGAGGGCATCAGGCCGGCTGCTCAGGGATAACATGACAGAATGCCACGGGGCGGAGCGGGATTGGGTTGTTGTCTGTCATCATAATGAGACGTTGGCGTTTGCTCCCAGCTTGACATAACTCGCACACAAAAGGTTACCTGAGTTTGAGACAATTCTGAAGGAATGTAAGTCCTACAATCCGAACTTTTTAACCTTTTGGTCAGAATGCCACAGCAGGGATGTGTGTCTGATTGGAGAGCTCATAGTTATTCATTTTATTAATCTTGTTTTTTGGTTCTGCATTAAGCTGAGCTTCTTCTGCCTTCCTGTCCACCACTTCAGAGCCAATCACAGACGAGGCTATGCTTCTAACGCTATGTCTCCCCTCTCTCGTCACCGTTGGCTTTCCCAAAACGCTCTTCAACTGCGCCCAGAAAAACGGCTGCTGGCTGACTTGCTGGGGCCACTCCAGGTATGTCTTGGTGCTCAGCATCTTCTTCAGCTTGCAGTATTTGCTGGGCAGGGAGCTGGGTCGAGGGGCTCCTTCACCACCAATATGACATCGTTGAAGGTCTTTCCCATCGCCCTCTGCTGAGCAAAGTACAGCTCGTAGTTGCACCACTCGCTGTTGACGAAGTGCCGAGAGAGGACAAATATCACCTGAGGACAGAGAGAGAAAGACACAGGATAACATGTTTAATATGAGGAGCTACATGGATTATGTATGTCCAAAAGGACAGAAAACAACTAACAGACAAACTCCAAGGATGTTTGATCAAAAGATGTGATTGGACCAAACCAGCATGGACATATTATTCGTGCAAAACTGTAAATGACTCTTCAGATCTTTATTCTCCATGATAGGAAAAACAGTGATATAATTTTTATTAACTAAAGCGTGCTACAAGATCACAGGAGAACTACATGATCACAAGAGAACTACAAGATCACATGAGAACTACAAGATCACCCGGGAATAAAGAGAAAACCTTGCTAACATGTAGCTTTATCTTTCTGAGGATGATTGGTTCTTCACTCGTTCCTGTTTTTTTACGTCATATTGATAAAGTGATTGAAAATACGATCAGGAGTCTGTATGTTGTGTTTCATTTTGAAACTGACCGGATGCTCTGTGCGTTTCCTTGTCTGTCTTCCTGTCCAGGTCATTCTATTCTGTTCAGCTTGACCGGTGCCCCTGTAGTGTATTTATTTGGATTGTATATCACAATATTTCTGCTGCTATGTTGTGTGTAAGAGCAGCTGTAAGACTGAATATCCCCCGGGGGAAACCTTCCTTGCCCAACACATCAGCTGATCTAACACTGAGTTCCTCAAAAGCAGGTTTCCATCTGACTGTTTCCTCTCAAACGTAACTTTAGGGTTTTGTTACTTTGTTACAAGTCTTAGATAGTGTAATGAGTGTGCCAGTGTGACAACATGCTGGCATGTGCAAGTCTTTTTACCTTCCGGCTGCTTTCAATGTTGTCAATGATGTTATCAATGATCCACCTTCCTGGCATGAAGTCCCGCTCATGAATACAAAGGCGGTAGGGGTTCTTGTCACTCTCCAAACAGGGTAAGAGCTGATCCCTCACCCAGTCGGCATCAGAGTGGCTGTAGGAGATGAAGGCATGATATGTGAAACTTCCTGCTTCCCCTGCCGCCTTCTCCTTGTGAGCTCTGTATTTGGCCCTGATGATCTGAAAGGTCGCTTTGGTGTACCACGGCAGGTCAAACATGTAGCACATAAGCATCAGTATGAAGATCACCAGCATTGTGGTGGCAACGCAGATGATGATCACAAGTCTGATGTCGCACGCCACTCGACCTGGTAGGTATTTGGAAACGACCGTGTTTAGGAAGGCCTCCGGGTGGTAGCACTTGTAGTTCTCTGGCCAGTCTGTGAGGTTGATCTTTCCTTTGGATGTCGTGTCCTCGACAAAGGCGTGAAGCTCACAGGTGCAATGGAAAGGGTTGTTCCCCGCTCTCAGGTGAGACAGTCGGGGCATGTCCCTGAAGGACGCTTTGCTGATGACACCAAACGAGTTCCCGTCCAAAGCTAGCGACTGCAGCGATGGACTTCCCCACTGAAAGGGGATGAACTTGATTTTGTTCCCACTAAGGAGCAGCTCTTTCAGGCTGTTGGCTTTCTCAAAGTACGTTATGTCCAGCTGGTCCAGGTCGCAGTGGGACAGGTCCAAGTATTGCACCGTGGTGGGCAGACAACGCAGGGACTCACTTTCAAACCGGTTGTGGTGAGCGATGAACCGAGTTATACTCTTCTGCCAGACGCAGTCTCGACTTTTTCCAGCAGCTCCCAGTCTGTTGTTGCTAACGTCCAACTCCTGCAGCTTCTGGAACTCCCTCGTTAGAAACGACAGGTCTCTTAAGCTGGTCAGGTCGTTGGTGCTCAGCGTGAACGTGTGCAGGTTCGGCATGGCGCCCTTGTATTGACAGCGTTGGTTAAAGATGTAGTCGTCCTGTAGTCGATTGTTGGAGATGTCCATAATCTCAACAGCCGCCATCTCCGCCCAGGCGTCGCATGGAACCGAGTTGAAGTTCACATACTGAATAGACAGGTGCTTGATTTTGTTGAACCAGGTGAAGCGCCAGTCGAAGCGCAGCACATCCGGGTTGCTGATATACCTACAAGAAAAAGAGATGACATTTTAAAGATCAAGGGAGTTAAATGTGGGAAAGCTCTAATTGCGCAGGATCAGTAAAACCTGGGACCTCTGATCATTTGTGATCATGGCGGAGGATGTCTGTGAATCAACCATGTCTGTACTTTCCAAAATAAATATCTGAGGGCCAATTAGCATCCATATTTCAGCAAACGCAGCGCTCCTCCGATAGTGAGTCTGCGTCTCAGTAATTTGAGGCGGTTATTAATTTTAAGACGGATCTTCTTTAGCTGCACGTTTAATAAAGTCGCCTAAATAGCAAAACTACTACTTTGAAACACCGCAGGTCACACCGACACATTCACACCCTGATGGTAGAGGCTGCTGAGTAAGGATCATACACTGCCGATGAAGCAAAGGGAGCAACTTGGGTTAAAGGCTGAATATGTGATTTTTCACACACAAATGTAGCCTAATAGAAATCAAGTATATCCTCTGAAAATAACTCTGAGTCATGACTGTCTACAATGGGTGTAACACCCCATTGAGTCCTTCAGTTTTCCGAGTCCTATCTTCAGTTTGTTTACATCGTTGGGAAGGCCGGCTGGCCGGCCGGCTCATCCCATCACATATAAAAGTTGTTTAATTGAGGACTAGATAAAAGAAGAAGAATAACACTGTACTCACTGCTTATCTGCGTTTCTATATCACGCTCATTTCGGGTAAATTTACATGCAGTGTGAAGACACGTCCCTAGCATTAGCATGCTAACACATCAATGCAGCGCGAGTTGTTTTGGTTTCATGCTGGTGCTCAAGGGCGACACCTGCTGGATCAAAAAAATGCATATTCTGCCTTTAAGTGTCTTGCCCAAAGACACATCAGACATGTTGCTGAAGGAGCCTGGACCTTCCGGTTGAGAGACGAATCAAACATCCCCTAAGGTATTGTATTTCCCTAAAACTTTCCCTAAAATGAGAAGCTACTCACCAAAGATCCAGCTCATCCAGAGCTAGATCCGTGATACTGGAGTCTCCTCCGTTATCGATGAACGTGGGTGAGCGGGCGAAGTCGATGTACTGAAGTCTCAGATTTCTGATGGGTGCGACCTCTAGGTTCATCAACGCCATACGAAGGAGATTCTCATTGAATTTCCCTCTGTGGAAGACGAGCTGCTGGGCCGTGACGTATCTTAAACCCTGGAAAATGTCGTCCGTTCCCATGTAGTACGTGAACTCAAACAGGTTTCGGAACTGGATGACGCTGAAGGTCTTGTTGGCGAGGTCACGCAGCATGTGATGCAGAGCGACGGACCGTTGATCTAAGGCCATGTCGAAACCCATCTGCATCGTCTGGACGACCTCTAAACTCCCGGGCTCGTAGTAACTCAGGTTAGAGGAGCATTTGATTGCAAAGCCGTGCAAACGCATGTTTTTCAGGGGCTGGAAATCGGCTTTCTTTAGACCCATCACCAAAGGGCCGCCCATCGACAAAACTTTGAGATGGACCAATTTGGAGAAGCTCTCATCCAGAGTGGCGTGTTCATAAAGGTTATTCGACATCATGAGCTGTTTCAGATTTAGAAGCGGAGTCAGGGCGGTGGCAGGGATTTCCCGCAGGGAGTTATTAAAGATGTCAAGATGCTCCAGCAGCTTGTTGTTTTTAAAGGCTTCACTGTCGATGTGGGAAATGTTATTAAACTTCAGCAGGAGGACACGAAGCCGAGGGAGGCGGAGGAAGTCGTTGGCGAGGATAGCTTGGAGCTTATTGGAGGAGAGGTCGATCTCTTCCAGCGTGGGTGGAAATTGTGTCCACGGGACACTTTCCAGCTGTCGACCCAGACAGTCTGCAGAGCGGCCGGAGTTGTAGATGCGACAGGGTCCTTCCACGGCGGTGGTGTTAGGGCGTGAGGGTGGAGTCGGGGATGTGAGTGCTCCAGGAAGGAGGGCGGTAAGATAGATCCATTTCCAAATCATTGTGGCAAACTGTATAACAGAGAGACAAGGAAAGGTCAAAGGTTAAAATTAACTCAAATCTTTAATCAAATACTTAATGAAAGCCATATTCACCAGATAAAAATCTAATTTCTTGATATTGGCCTAACTGACCCCTCAATGACCTGTGAGTTTTGATTCCTGTATTTGTGTACTCAGGCTTTCTCGCTCCATGTCCTATTCTTTACGGTGAGAAGGCAGACTCAGAGGGCAGAACAAACACCTAGCTGTGGGAGTGTCACCCACCTGGGGGATGGGTTACTGCCCTTTGTGATGTCACAAAGGGAAAATCTCCAAACGACCTGTTTGAGCAAACATTTTTCTGAAAAGTGCAGCAGGCGGAAGACGGAGAGGATGGACTTTTCTCATCATTGGGGGGATTGTAGATAGACTAGGGACACATATATGATTCACTTCATTGTCCCCTTGGTGAGATTTGTCTTGGATTCACAGTGCTGCCAAACATTCAGCAGCTTCCACACCTTTAAACTCCAGTGATGCTCAAGATTATCATTTAGCCTGCACAGTGTGTGTGGCCTCATGTGGAGGAGCCGTCCAGCTTTATAGACCCCGTTAGACAAACAGCGAGCTCAGTTTATCATAGGTCATCATGCCAACAATCAAAATAAACCCGAGCAGGCGATCAATAACATTTTCATTTTTATAAAGAATGAGAACTGAAAGGTACAACTTAACGACAGCTGCAAAAACACAAAAAAGGAGATTCAGGCGGCAGGAAGGAGGCGGCAGTTTAGTTTGTAGATTTTCTGAATAGATAGATAGATACTTTATTGATCCCGAGGGAAATTCAAAGCATCCGGTAGCAGGTTACAAAGACGTACATGACTTGAAACATTTGTCACAAATTAACCACAAAACACGACGCCCCCCTCCCATACATATATATTAACCCGAAAAAAAGACTTAGAGAATACCCCTAGATGAATCAAACTTAAACCTGTGCAATTAAAAATAGACTTATACAAGAAATGTACATAACCCGTGCAGGGATAAAAATATATGTGCAATTTAAACAAGAAACTATAAACAGTTGAGGGAAAAAAATCTGTAATTAATTATCTGAATATAAAAAATAAAATAAAAAAGTGAAACTTCTGAAGTTGTGTTGTTTATATATGTACAGCAATGTTTAAAAAGAAGATAAAAAAACAGACATTAAATAACAGGCAGTGCATTAAAGGTGCGAATGTTATACTTATGGTGAAGTCAGATCAAAAGCAGAGAGCTGTTCGGATACTGAGTTTGATTTCATGATCCAGGGACATGTGAGCCAATGTGATTCTGTATGCAATGTCTTCTGCTCCCCCAACACGGGTTTGATTTGATTGCTTTTGATATTTCTGCGGAGAGGTCAGGTCAGGATCGTCTTCTTTGAGTTAATAAATGTCAGCCTGTGTGTGCAGAGTAGCCGGCGTCTTTCCTCCTTAGCGTATTAAACATTGTCTGGGTGAAAATAAAAGCAGCTGGGATGTTTCTTCACCAGAAACCAGAAACACACCTAGGCTATCTAATCTTGTCAACAGTGGACAGCTGTTCCTGGAAACTGACTGCAGATTAAAGGAGCATCAATAATATTGACTCAGATAAACTATGAGCAGAGTTGTAAAGAGATGGCGTTCAGCCAAGCGGGCAATAACAGAAGCTTTGGGAATCGATGACATGCTGTCTCTGAACACTTTGAAAAGGGTTCAGGTAGCCAGATCACAGGGGACCCTTCTCACGCCCCTCCCCCATTCCCTCCAGCTACAGAGCCCCAAAGGCACAGGGAAACACCTTCAAGAAATCCTCTACAGACCATATTTCTATGGCGGCCATGTTCCTGTGACGTCACGCTCAGGCTGTGTAGCTCACAGATGATGTGAGAACGCAGCAGGATATAATCAGGAGAATTTACCTGGAGCGAGTGGGAACACCCTGCTCCTGCCGGTTAAGATTAAGATTTACTTTTATTGATCCCTGCAAGGGGAAATTTCAGTTTTTACACTCTGTAAGTCATGAACACAAACAGGCTGAAATATACACACACATGCAGAAACAGGATCCTGTGGACATGCACTGATGGAGAGAAGCCAGAGTGACAGCGCAGCCCACAGTGGGCGCTCCTGAGCTGATGGTGGGAAGGGGGATTGGTGCCTTGCTCAAGGGCACCTCAGCAGTGCTCAGGAGGTGATCTGGCACCTCTCCAACTACCAGACCAACTTCTATATTTGGTAAGTCCCTACAGACTGAGCTACTGCCGCCTAAAGTGAGCACTGCGGCAGCTCCAGAAGCGTTTGTTCCTGCTAATCATCAAGATCACAACATGTAAAAACACCAGTACAGGACTTCCACTCTGACCTCTAAAGCTCTGATTGGTCCAGGTTCAATGAGAATCAAACGGCCCATAACTAATCTTCAACTACGGGTCACCTCGCTCTGGAGACATTCCAGTCTGGATCCGTTCTGTAGTCTTATCTCTGTTGATCGGGAGAATTCCTCCAGAAGTCAACTAAAGCTGTTCCTGACCCGCATTCGTGGTCAGGAACCACCTTCATGGTTTGGCTTTAACCCGCCTTAACCAACACACACAGGACACTCACCAAAGGAGCCTCCTCCTCCTACTCCTCCTGATGTATCAAAGCATCATTCAGCCCATCCTCTTATACACGCTCACTGTCACAAACTGGGTCCATCTTACATTACCAACACCCTCACCCGACCTCGCAGCATTGATCAGTAAACGCCATCACACGCTTTGCAGACACAATAAAACAGGACATGACGCCCCCACTGAATCAGCAGCTCACTCCTCGGCCCTCTGAGTGAACAAACAGAGCAGGAAGGCTCGCTGATCCCTGAAGCCAGAACTGACCTTAACATCATCCGTGTGTGTGTGTGTGTGTGTGTGTGTGTGTGTGTGTGTGTGTGTGTGATAATTAGTGGAAGGTGAATCCAGTCAGGGATGTTAATAAAAGACTTGTTTTGAAATCAATGAGTGAACTGAAACATTGCGAAAGGAATGGAGATGCATACCAGAGAAGATGTTGGTTGATAAGCGAGCAGCTACCACTAAAAGCTTCCTGTTCTGAGGCGTTAGCAGAGTCGTCTGTGCTGAACGGGGCCGTGGTCTGAAACGCTGCATCGGGTTCTCTGACGGGATCACTGTGGGACGCTTCTGTGAGGAGGCATGTTGCAATCACTGATAACACACATTTATTATATTATGTTTACAGGGTTTTATGATATGGAGGTCGGTCTAAAACAACTCCACATGGGCTCTTTGTGTACACACTAAACATGATGTAGGTCAGTGTTACTCACGTGCCGTTTGGCCCACGGCCAGCACTGAGCCGGAGCGACGTCTCGGAAACTCCCCGTGTAGCACGCAAGGTAGGAAAAATATTTGTTTTTTCTTTGAAGCCAAGAGTTCACTAATCCCTGTCATGTTGAAAATCTATTTTCTGGTCATAGTTACAAATCCGGTGTTTTTAATCGTCAGAGCAGGTGAACACGCAGGTGCTGCAGTGGAATGAAGGACTCGACAACACTTGAGGAAATGGTTCAGTTTTACTGCAGGGAACACTCCCTTTCCTCTAATGCCATGACACACATAGCTGAACCTGAAGAGGTGATGAAGCGTTTATTTGTGTTTGACACTAAACGTTAAAGTGGGACTGAAGCTGAAAACAGACATGCAGCAGTACAGCATACAGAATGAAAACATACTTAAACCTTTTGTGTTTATCAATAGAAACTGATCATATGTTCAGGAACACTCGATTGGTCGATGAACGCCGGGCATACGCTGTGAATTTACACGGCTGTGGTCTTTATATATGCATGAGGAAGCTACAAGTGGAAAGCATTGTTCGCTATCAATAAAGCGTAAAGTCATTATCAGTGTGCATTTCTTTTTTTATTGTGTGTTCCTGCAACCGAGCGGCACTCATACTTTTATCTTATCTCTCTTGGGGTGTCAGCCCTATGTTCCCACATGTCAACCCGGCTTTCCAGAGTTTGCACTGCAAACTATGGTTTGCGTCCAGTTGCTGCACTTCATTCGACTGATCTGACCGGAAGCTAGTCAATGCGAGGCCTCTGTGCTACTTAGTTTAGTTTGTTTATTTAAAAGGACAATGTGCACTTACATCAAATGTTTGCAATAAACAAAGAGATGGCGACAGCTTGAATCTGCTCAATTTATGCTTGCGAAAAGTTCCACTCGATATTACGTTATTTATGAGAGTTCAGTACTGAATCAACAGCAAGCAGCTGAACATTTACATTTTTAAAATGGAGCCAGGAGAAGTTTCAGTTTTGATGCATTTACAAGAGTATATAGCTCCCCCTCTCCTCTCTCTCCCTCTCTCCTCTCTCTCTCTCTCCTCTCTCTCTCCTCCTCTCTCTCTCCCTCTCTCTCTCCTCTCTCTCCTCCTCTCTCTCTCTCTCTCTCTCTCTCTCCTCTCTCTCTCTCTCTCCCTCTCTCTCTCTCTCCTCCTCTCTCTCCTCTCTCCTCCTCTCTCTCTCCCTCTCTCTCTCCTCCTCTCTCTCCCTCTCTCTCCTCCTCTCTCTCTCTCCTCCTCTCTCTCCCTCTCTCCTCCTGTCTCTCTCTCTCTCTCTCCTCTCTCTCTCTCTCTCTCTCTTCTCTCCTCTCTCTCTCTCTCTCCCTCTCTCTCTCCTCCTCTCTCTCCCTCTCTCCCTCTCTCTCTCCCTCGCTCTGAAGCTGATGTGATTCTGCTCTCTTTTGTATACTCTGCAGGAGTCGAGAGGGATTTTTTTAAAGGAAGTTTTGTTAAGTTGATAGGCCTACAGCAGGGGTCTCCAACCTTTTTTCATCTGAGAGCTACTTTCAAAAAATGATGCAATAAGCCAATATCAATAATCTTAAATTCACATCAATGTCCAAGGAAACATTAGTACTTCATACTTGTTTTTATGGGCCAAATATATGAATAGTGGGAAGAGGTGCATTTACTGTCGTCAGATTTTTATTTTTATTTTTAACACAGTCGGTCAACCTATAGGCGAGCTACTGAAAACCTGCCTGTGGGCTGCCCGAGCTACCTGTTGGAGACCCCTGGCCTACAGTACATTTTAACGTAATGGTGGTTCTTGGAGAGCCAAATATTTTTGGAGGTGGTACGCAGTCTAAAAAGTTTGAGAACCACTGAAATACAAGATTTTGTATTTTTCTGATCAGTGTTTTGCTGGGAGGTATTGTTGATCAGTTTTAAATACTCATAGAGAGAGTCATAGAGCTCACAGCCCACAGCTCTATGACTACGTCTGATATTTACCCAGCAGTCAATACCCCGACACATTAATGTGTTCTTTACTCTGGTTTAACGGCACTCGGTGTTCATATGCTGCTCCCAGGTCACCGTGTTCCTCCTCCACATGTGGCTGTGCTCATTTGTCTGTTTAACATCAACTGATCTTGTTGGATTTTACACTTTGAATGCCATATTCTGCTTTAGTCAGTGCTTCTCAGCTTTTTAAAATGTGTTTTGTCTTTTTTTTTTTTTTTTTTTTTGTCCTTTTAATGACTTGATGCAAAATCAAACCAAACAACATCTGTTGACCTGCAAAACATTACGTATGTTACATATGTAACGCCAATTGTGTCATGGATGAAGCAACCTGTGAGCTCCGTGCAAGTGTCTATAAACACTGCTCCAACTAAGATAGACATTTAATATCGTCATACAGACGTTAACAACTTCAAATGTGTATTGAGGATCAAATATATGTTTATTTATTGTAAAGTGTTTTATATTTACAGGGACTGTTGCAAAAACAAAAGAATATTAAATCATGTTGCAGACAACTTTTCGCTGTTAATATTTATTTCTTATTTTTCTACTTTTGATGTCTTTGTGAAATCTCAATTCAACAACAAAAAATACACTTTTTGCTGCTCTAAGGTTCAACAATATTATCCTTGTCTTTGCATTAATTTAGGACACCCTGATCTAAAAATTACAATAAATTAACTTAAATTATAAATTACAATCAACAATTTAGGCTCAGTCTAATAGTTTTGTTATAAGTCTACACTAATATAACTAAAGAAGAATAATAATCTAGGCTTCATAAATATTTTTACAGAATGCATTAGCTACAAAAAAAAGCCGTTTCCCCCAACACAGTTCCTGTTTCCACCTGAGAGAGGGAAGTTTTTCCCAAAGCCTGCCGCTGTGTTTCTACCCTACACCTTGATGAAGGGGACTTCATTCAGCTGCGAGTGTGACTTCTAACGGAGTTACTTCAACATGCGTCAATGTTGTTTTGTCAATCACAAAGGAAGAGGAGAGCATGACATCACATTTGACTGATGACTTTTTCCTGTGAGGCTTGAGAAAGCACAGAGCAGATCTTTGGAAGGAAGTGACGGGGAAAAAAGCAAAAGGCTGAGACGGGTAAACATCCTCCCAGCTGTTAAAAGAAACATTGAATTACGAGTAGCAGTCTGTCAAACGTTACAGTCACAGCTGATGTTTTGATTGGTCACAGCAGGAGAAGTTATTAGTCACACCTGTTTCCAAATAGTTTAGAGCCCACTGACTCATGACGCTGACAAATGGAAAATATGACTCGTCATTAAAGCAGTCGACTTTTCTCTTCATGGACATTTGGCAACAGGTTGAACTGATGACATTAGTGGGTTTAAATTCCTTGGCTTCAGCGTTGCACAGCCTGGCTCATGGTGACGGCGTGTTGTTGCTTCTAAATGGAACAGAGCCGTGGTTAATGTTATTCATTTCACCTGGGGCTTCTCCTGCTCTGACAAGTAGAATCATCCTCTGTGAGAAAATATTATGCTAAGGAAACAGCAGGGGAACTTCTCTGTCTTCCCCACTAATTGTTTTTTTCTCAAACTCAAATATCCCTAAGACTGCAAAACGAGCAGGCCAATCAGAGGAGAGTGGGCCCCTCAGGGAGGGGGGTTCTTAAAGAGACAGTAGCTGAAATGAAGCTACTTCAGGGGGATTTTACTGACGCCAGTATCAGACAAATAAACAAGTTTATGAGGTCATAGCTACAGGTGTCCCAGACTGACATCATTCATGCTGAAAGTGAGGATAATAGATCTCCTTTAAGGGATACAAAAGAGATGATACTGTCTTTCAGGGGTTCAAAATATTAAGTTTAATAGGTTCTGCACAAACCTTAAATGTCTTTCTACCACTGGTGTCCATTCTGACCTCTACATGAAACATTGTTCAGCACAAAACAATGCCTCCTGTGTTTGTGACTCCTACTTTATTCCGTTGTCCTCTGCTATTTGCAGTAAATGAGTTATAAATTAATGAGACACACCGGGGTGACGAGGGCAGCCAAGAATGTGCCAAATGTCTGTAATATCAAACAAAGGAAAGACTGACCGAGCCAACTCTTACCAAATACCTTTGGTTTAATGTGTGAGACTAAACCAAAAGCAATGAGACATGTTTGGGTATTATCACAAGGCCGATTTTAAACTTTACTCTCTGAAAACCAGTCAGTACTCTCAGAACAGAGCCAGCATACTTCCTGTCTGAAACTGAGTGGTTATATGAGGGGTCTCTCTGAGGCTCATTACAGTTTGATTTGGAACTTTCCCCTCCTGGTTCAAATTAATGTTTACATTTCTGTTTAAGAATTGACAGCCCTAGTGACAGCCAGCCTGAACATCTGATTTCTTTCTTTCCTTTTTTTTAATAAAATACTTCAGCCTAGCCCACACTTCATGTCAAGTCTATTTTTTCCTGTCACCCTGAATGTAATCCTCGCCTGAAACTCACTCATGCTCAGAGAGAATTGAGCAACACCCTCCTGGATCAGTCATCAAATGAAACTGATCCAAAGGGAATAATTAGCCTTTGGTTTCACTTTCAGAAAGTTGCTGTAAAAGAGTCAACAACTTATAGTAAATGTGACGTCAGCACACACTCATGCCTGCTCCCGTCAGCTTTGTGGTCGAAATTTAGGTAGGTGGTTGTATATCGTTTTAGGTGTTGGCTGCATTGTGACACATCTGTGGAGCAAACTAACAGTGTTGAGTAAAAGTAAAAAAAAAAAAAAAGGGTAATTTGTGACCAAAGGCCAAGTCCATTTCTACAGACTCTGAATAACAACATCTGGAAACAAACTCCAATGTGGTATTCAATTCATGTTGGGTTGTATGTTTAAAATGGTATCAACCTGGTAAAAAATAAAAGGAAAAAAAGAACTGCTCATGCACATCCAATTTGAAGTGAAACATGTTTTTTAGACAGTTATGTTTAAAACTAACAAATTAACGAACTGAAGACAACAAAATCCCAGGGAGTCTATTGGACCGCAATCACCCGTGACTCTTCCATCCATCCATCATCCATTCATCATTTATTGCTTATCTGGGGCTTGGTCGCGGTGGCAGCAGCTTAAGGAAGTAGCCCCAGACTTCCCTCTCCCCAGCAACATTTTCCAGCTCCACTTGGGGGATCCTGGGGTGTTCTTAGGCCAGAAGGGATATGTAGCCCCTCCATCTACCCTGGGTCTACCCCTGGGTCCAGAAGACCTCCTTTTGATGCGAAGGAGGAGCAGTGACTCTACTCTGAGCTCGGCCACCTTACAGAGGAAACTCATTTCGGTGACACTTGTATGTATAATTGTGTGTCATCAGCATACATGTGATGTGATACATGTGAAATATCTGCTAAAGGCAACATAGGCTAAATAAGAGAGGTCCAAGAACTGATCCTTGTGGAACCCCACAAACTGATGGGAGACTCTTTGACAAATGGTTACCAATTGATACGAAATAATCTCTGCCCTGAAGGTAGGACTTGAGCTAATAAATAAAGAGCCGTGCCAGAAGGACCAAACCAGTGCTGTAATCTATGAATAACTGTGATCGAATGCAGCAGTGAGGTCCAATAAAACAAGTTGTAGCTGTTAGACAGGAGGCTAAGAGCTTCAGAAACTAATGTGTGACATCTCCAACATATGCTCTAATGATACAGAAAAGAGCTGTCACACACTTCTAGAAACAACAAGAAAATGATCTTTGAGTTCAACACAAACCTTTAAAATAATCTTACTACATAAATAGAAACGTAGTGTGGAGGTGAGACTACACTTTGTATATAAAATACTCTGACAAGGTCAAAAGAGCCAAACTGCAGCACATTCCCAGTTTCTTCAGTTTACAAACAACTCCAAAGAGATCTCTGGAGCCTCGGCTGCAGCTTCTGCTCACTCTAAATAAAACCTGCAGCTTGTGACCCTCTCAAAAGGGTTTAATCCTACTGAGAGCGTGCTCAGTAACCGTGCCTCACGGCTGTTTGGAGGAAAGTATATAGAGACGTTATCCAGCGGACAGCATTGACTTTAAAAAACTGCCCAAACTGCCTGAAATAATTCGATCAAACTGGCACTAGTGTTATCTTTTCAGACACTCGACTCCTCAGGACAAACTGCTAACTGTTGGCATCTGTGACGCTCAAACTGTTTTTATTATTATTATTATTATTAACAAATCTCATTATAAGACCAACAATAAACCTATAGTGTAACAAGAGCCTAAGATTACACCTCTGCACCAAAAACACACACACACACACGCACACACATACACACACACACACACTACACACACACACGCACACTAACACACACACACACACACACACACACACACACACACACACACACACACACACACACACACACTAACATAAGGAAACGTGTCAGCCAAAGCATTGTTTGTCATGTGATTAAAATAGCATGTTGCACAACTCTGTATTTCTACATAGGAAACCTGAACTAGGATGTTTGTCGTTGCTTTGCCTCTTCAGGTGATTGGTTCATTAATGATGATTCCTTCACTGCTGTGTTTTGGTTTACTGATTTTTTGGTTATTTATTGAAGCAGGTTTAACCTGTTGAGATCAAGATCTCTTTCGCCAAGGTGACCTGGCCAAGAGGGCATCATCAGCACTCGTCATCATAAACTTTACATGATTAAGAAACATTTTACAAACAATCAGTTTACAGAAAACAACAATTACGATGTGCAAATCGGTTTAGAGATAAAGTGCAGAAGTTGTGATGACAGATTACAATTCAGAAACACATCAGGCACTGTCCAATTGTCTCGCATCTTTTGTCTTTTGAGATCAAACCACTGGCTTCAAGCAAAATGAAATCCATCATTTTCAAGTCATCCCCCCCATTTGAATTCGACATTTTTCTTTCATTAATTATTTTTTGGGGGGCCATTTTTTCTTCTTTTTTTGGACAGAACAGCTGAAGAGTGACAGGAACCGTAATTGTGTGCAGTTTTGCGTCCCAAATATCAAACATAAGAAATATAAGAAATTCATCGGACTGAGATTGGCCGTCGTGCCTCAGTGTGCTCTGCACGATTGACACTTCAAGGATCTTGTGTGTGTTGTACAGTGGGTCTAAATCAGCTTTAATGTTTCAGTGTCGCTTGACTTTAGACTTCTCCCTCCTGGGTTGATTCGGTCCTGCTGAGAAACTACTGACAACATTAAATCCAATATGTGAGATCTTCTCATGGGGGCCCAGAAAGCTCTGAGACGCCCCCAACATTAGCCTGGAGTAGCCCAGGTTAGGTTTGAGCCGACCCGCCTCTTTATCACCAGAGAACTTAAAGATAGAGCGAGGTTCAAACACACCTGATCTATCGCGTCATCTCTCTGTGGTTGATAAGGACAAAGTGCTGCTTTCATATCTTTGCTCTACGTTGTTGCTGAACAATCATAACTCAGCGTCCGTCTGTGACCTCGTTCTTTCTCGTTTTCTCGTTTGTTTCTGTTCATCAAACATTAACACAGATTTATTGCCATATATGTAAAAAAAAGTTTGAACATTTCAACGCCTTAACCACGACATCACGGACAGATACAGATGTAAACGATCAGCTCATGATGGCACCATGCAGTGCTCATTTTTACGACAGATTTAAACGCAACACACTGGACAAGATGTATTTCTATATCATGGGACAAATAAGAACGTCTCAAACAGACATGAAGGGAAAGAAGTCTTTTTTTTTAAACTCACCTGAAATGTCACCTGGAGCTCGGCGCTTAGATCGGAATCGTCTTCATCACTTTTCACAACAGGTTAAATCTCTGCTGCTGAGTTTGACGCTCCATGAGAAGTGACTCAACACAGAACGAGTCCGCCTGTAGCAACTCTGTGTGTGTGTGTGTTTCACTCTCTCTCTCTCGCTCTGTGTGTGTTTCACTCTCTCTCTCTCTCTCGCTCTGTGTGTGTGTGTGTGTGTGTGTGTGTGTGTGTGTTTCACTCTCTCTCTCTCGCTCTGTGTGTGTTTCACTCTCTCTCTCTCTCTCGCTCTGTGTGTGTGTGTGTGTGTGTGTGTGTGTGTGTGTGTGTGTGTGTGTGTGTGATTCACTCTCTCCCTCTGTGTGTGTGTGTGTGTGTGTGTGCTGTTCAGGAATGTGGAAAATGTCAGAGGAAGTTTTTCCCCGGCTCAGACGCTCAGCACTCGTTTCATTTCACACTCGGCTGAAAAACAACAAACATACGAGATCAGCGAGGTCACTCGAGGTCATTCAGATTCAAAATGACATCGTCAGGGTTTCTCACTCGAGCCTTGCTGGTTGATTTTATTCCCGGATTTTTAGACATATCATTCTGTCTGTTTCCCTGTTTTGATTGGCACTCGCAGGTTAAGCATCAGCATGAGGAGAAAAGTCATGACAGCATGATCCATGATCCATGATCCATGATCCTTACTTCCTTAAATCTTCATGACCTGCCATGTTCTCCCCCTGGTCTGGTGAGATAACTGGTTTATTCCAGTGGGCGTTCACTATAGCTGTTCCCGCTCAACATTCTTGAAGCCAAAATACGCCCCTTACGGGCGCTTCCATCTTGCGATTTAGACGTCATTTGGAGCTGATCAACAACTGCACAAGAAGAAGGTGGACAACAGAGTCTGGTGCTTTCTGACAGTGAACAGTGAGAAGGCTACCATAGTCACCCTCAGATAAAACACAGAGATCCTGGTCAATATTCAATGGTGCTATTTTTCTTTACATGATGTTGCCCTGTGTTTTAAAGGCCAAATGCTGGAGGGTTGTGTTGGATTTACTTTTCCATCATTTTTTAACAGTCAAACAATCATCTAGGATCTCTTTGTCCCCAGCAATTGGACCTGATGGTCTCCCTTACTTATTTTCCACATAGTTAATGAAGCCAGGGGTTGTTTATTGAAGATTTTTTTTCATAAAATGTTTAAATAAACCTTTTAAAAATCTGATATGACTGTCTCTGATTAACTGGAGCACTACAACGTGTTGGTCAGAGTAAAATAATTTAGCAGTGAAATGTATAGCTCACATTTGAAAAGGCCTTGAACTGACATTCATTTCTTCTTGACCAACAACAGCTCAGACAACAGCAAAGCTAACAGACGAGCTCAGCTTGTCACAGTCGGGTTGGCCTGAGATAAATGGGCTTCAAACTTATTTAATATTAAACATTTAAAGCCAATAAGCATAGCAAGATACGCATGAGATTCCATTTCCATTTATTCTATCGCACACTTGCCAAACAGTCTGGCATTTTGTGCTGCTGTTTTCAAGCAATAATAACTGAAGAGAAGAAGTCCATCGAGAGAGGACAGGAAACGCTCAGGGGGACGAGTCCTCCATGTTGTCAGTGGTTGCTGATGGATCTGAATCTGAGGGCAAAAAACAATCATGGAGTTAAATGTAAAGTATAATGAATTTGACTGTGATGTTTATGCCTCAGACCTGAAATCAGATCTGTCCTCAGGTTCTGCTAAACTTCAGCTTCTAAAGTTTGCCTTTATAAAAAAGTAGCTGATAATGTTTTTGTTTTCCAATTAAAGACAGGATAACTATTTAAGAGGAAAAACAAAATATATAATAAGACATGATGAATCCAATAATATGATCAGCTTTATGAATTTATGTTTTAAGACAAGTGTTCTTACCACTTTCTTTTGAAGATTATTTTAAACTGTCATCACATGGGCCAGCCTGATGAATTAAACTCATGTTAAATATTCTCATATAATCATGACATAAACAGGGTTACAATAATTAACTTTTGCCAATGACTCAGCAGTAGCTAGGGATGTGAGCTAACAGGTGAAAACTGAAACAACAGAATCAGAAGCTTGTATATTTTAATATACATAGAGTTTATATTAACTCAGTGTTAGACCGACTGTGGCTTACTGTATGATTCTGTAATACTCCACCTTCTTATATCACTTTAAAGTGAGACCGCTCTTTACCTGATTGATTCCATCTGGGACTTGTGTGTCTCGTACATGGAAGCCAAGTGTCCTCTCTCTTCAAGTCAGTGAGCCTATGGACAGGGACAGACAGATGAGCAGAACCGGTTATACTGGTTTTTGTTAGCCATGGAAACTTTTATTTCTGAAGTGCAAACACATCATCACATTTAGTTTAGACAAAACTCACTTTAGACACTAGCTGGTGGTATTTGGCTGTTGTTTAAGTTATTGATCAGTATCTGGGTCAGTTGTATGCCTGAAGCAAGTTCAACATATCCAGGCTTTCTTTAAGAAAGCTGGTTTAGCAAAGCCAGAAGCCCCCAGATAAAGATATGTGATAGCATGAGCTGATTATGAACTTTGTCTGTTAACTCATGGCGTTCTCCTTAAGGCTCTCAGCGCGTCACAGAAAGGGGGCGTGTGAAACATCTTTTGACCATTCTTATTCACAAAAGCGTTGAAGACGGTCAAATACAATGATGGTGTGATGATGAAGTTAAAGTGGTAAAACAGGATACTGCAGCTGCAGATAAGGAATGAGAGAACAAGCCTGCAGAAAAGAATTTTGTTCATTCATCATTAATGTAATACTCTTACCACACACTGCTCCACAGTGTCTCCTGTTGATTTATTATTTCTAACTACTCACTGTACAACTGTGAAACTTAAACAGTGAGGCATGATTTCAGCAGTGTGAGCAGAAACTGCAGTCAGGTGGATTATTGTGCTTCATTAGAAATATGCAGAAAAAAGTAAATTCAATGTACTGATTTGGTGTTGTGTGGTAATTAGCCATTTAACGAATCAGACAGCCAATTTGTGTGCAGAACCTCACCGGAGCTGGAATCAGAGTCTGGACTGCTGTTTCCTTTGGGCAGTGAGTTCCTTGAAGACAGAAAAAAGAACAATTTAAACATGAACTAGACTTCTTGCATTACCATAGAGGCTGTTAAAATCTTCTGCTAGTCTTCCTTACATTTTAAGAAAGATTATAAATTGTTGCTAAAATTTCTTTAACGCTGATAGCGGGTACAATAAAACGGTCCAATCATATGAGAGATAATTTTACCTTTGAGTCCTATGTGAAGGCGTTCTCTTCACAGTCAACACTGCAGAGACCAGATGATGGCGTCCACCTTCACAACCTGCTGCTTCAGTCTGGCTGCATCATGGTCACCTACAGGAACACCACAGAAATGCAATCAAAGTACTTCAGTTTATTTATCAGAGGATGTACTGTATGCAAAGTAGAATTCATTTTTTAGGTATAATTCCTCCAAAAGATTTGAGACTGCTTTGAAAAGTTATTATACAACATATGAATCACATAATCATGGAGCAAAGCAAGAAGAGTTTCTGAACAAATTCTGAATAAGCTGAACTAAAGTCACAACAAATCAACTGTAAACTATTGAATTGACTCATGGTGGTGTGCTGAAGTTATTTTTACAAACTATGGTTTATTCTGCAGAGCTGCTCTTTTATTGCTTTTGCACATCCAACACAATTTCCACATCTGCTGTTCTAGCCAACTGTCTTTATTTTTATCTTCCCTTCCGTGTGAAATTTCCCCTCGACTCATCTCTGCAGATTTCGCCAAGACATGACTCATCTGAAATGTATGTCTTTAATTAAGAGCCTGGGAATGTTCTGGCTTTATTTTTCTATGTTGTCATGTATGATTCAGAACTTTTCAACAGGAACACAAACACTAACAAAGAAGTTTTGTTTTGCAACATGTGGAAAAATAGCCCTGTCACCTGTTGAAAGGCACGACATCTGCTGAGTCATGGTTCATGAAAGGACCAATCAGTGAGATGTGTAGTGAGTGAAATGATAAAGTGAGCTTACTATCTGATCAGACTTTAAGGAAACATGCTGTGTTGAAGTGCTGGCTTCTCTGACAACAATGCAGCAGCCAGTATGTCCTCCTTCTAACTTTAGATTCTGGTCCTGAATGCTCTGGATTTGTTTGGACCAGAGAAGGTAGGCGGTTTTAAGACACCCCCCACACGGCCGTTTTGGACGCCCCTCAGTTTGCCAGATATGAGAGCAGTTATCAGGTCAAACCAACAGGTGTTGCAGCGATGGAAGCGGGCAAGAGAAGTGGTTCAGATAGAAGTGATTGTACTCGACCTAAAAAGCCTCTGCATGTTTCTAATAAGCTCCACGAGCAGAAACGTGCTCAAACTAGGATCAATATTGGAGATGCTTTTGAGAAATGGAGAGAGGTTAGAACGCAGAAAGGTTTACAGAGCGATGCAGAGCTGGATAAACACTGAAGCTTCAGTGTCCACCACATGGCAACCTGCATGAACATCAACTCTAGAGACGAGGGGGCGGGGGGAGACAGCTCTTCACTGGGAGTTTTTCCTCCAGCTTCCTCGTATTTATTCTGCAGAAAGTCAGAGTGAGCTGATGTGAGAACGCAGCAGGATATAATCAGGAGAATTCACCTGGAGCGAGTGGGAGGGGGTGGTGACGTTTATTCCCTGTGATAGAGATTAATTATAAATGTTGGAATTAGGAGGAACTGCCTCCTTTACCCAACACAAATGGTTTAATTTGTCTCACTCAGTTGCCCTTTAACTATATTTACTCCTCATTGTGTTTAATTCTGTGTCCGTGTCCCTGCCAATAAAGCGTCTGAGAAGAGTGACACGTGAACGTCTTAGCTGGATGTGTGTGTCTATGAAAGAGACGGTTCTGTTTGTGCGCCTGTGTGTCCCTGATAACTGCAGAAGAATGGCTGTGCTAAAGCCACTGAAAAGAAGAGGGATTTATATTAAATGGTTCCTTCGGCTAATGTGTGTCTAATTTCAGCTGGAAAAATATGGACGAGGTTTAGAGAGGGAGAGAGAGAGAGAGAGGGAGAGAGAGGGAGAGAGAGGGAGAGAGAGAGAGAAAGAGAGAAAGAGAGAGAGAGAGAGAGAGAGAGAGAGAGAGAGAGAGAGAGAGAGAGAGAGAGAGAGAGAGAGAGAGAGAGAGAGAGAGAGATTTTTTTCATTGTTAAAATATTTAATTGCTAATTATTACTTTTCATTATTATTATTGTATTATTTGTTATTTTATGCTTTGGCAATATATTTTACACATTCATGCCAATTAAGCTATTTGAATTTAATTGAATTGAGAGAGAGAGAGAGAGAGAGAGAGAGAGAGAGAGAGAGAGAGAGAGGCTGGTACTTACTGGGCTCTTTTGTACACTCAGCACAAAGCATCTTAGCGTGCAGAGCAGGTGAGTTTCTCATTTTCCACTTGATGCAAGTGTCAGGACTCCAGCGCCCCCTGCAGGTACAGATGGGTGACGTCACTCAGGCTCCATCCATTAATATTTACTCTGTCTTTATTCTTGGATAGACTGAACTCCAGCCCGCTCAAGATTTATTTTTGGTTGGAGGTGTGTCTCTGTAGGACAGCGGAGGCTTCAGTATGGAGGAGGCGTGGCCAAACAGCAGTTTGTTTTGGTTTCATGCTGGAGCTCAATCTACTGGTTAAAAAAGTCACACATTCTTCTTTTAATTAAACAAAATTCAAATGTTCACTTTCAGACAAACACAGACGCTCTTTGTCTTTATTCTTATATTTTATTAATTTCACCGCACATGTTCAGGGAAACACATGTCAATATGGATTTGTCACATGAATATCTATCGCACTATAGATATCAGTTTCTTTTAAAAATACATGTCATGAGATGGCATTCGACTGGCATGGCACCAATATAAATCAGCTTTTTTTTAATCATAGAGTTTGGCATGTTACTTTGAAAATTAGAATATATCACAACACAGAATCGTGGGCACACATCATGTACAGTACTTAACACTCACCCCCCCCCGGAGCAAACAAACACGGCGACCCACTATGCTCCACATCGAGCCTCTCGCAGCAGAGAGCGAGATCCACTCAAATGGTTTCCTGAAGGCAGAACGAGAATTCGCTTTGAAGAACATTAGACTTTAATCCAGCTCGCTGACGACGACGAATGAAACGAGCGATAACTGAGTGTCGATAAAGCGGCCGAGTGGATATCAGCATCAAAGCAAGGACTTGATCAAGGAGGAGATACAGTTAGAAGTTTTGATAAATGCTAGAAATCTTGATTCCACGCGAGCGGCCTGGAAAACATTTTTTTTTTTTAAAGCGACGCCTTGTTAAGTCATGCATGAAATGCTCGGATGAATACTCCGCCTTCTCTGAGGACGGGAGGAGGAACTCTCTGATCTTGTTTGAAACCCTTATGACACAAAGTCGTCTCAATCCTCGTCCCAAATCCACACTATAACAAACACTCAGTGGCATTCTAGTTTAATCTGGAGAAACGTGCAATGACCTCAGAAGAGCTCTTGTTCAGCAAGTATTTTAAATTTCCTCGTTCAAATCTTCCATCGACATTTAAGAAAATCAACATTTTTATTCCTGGAGTCAAGCCAACCAGGTTCCCCTGAATACTCGAGACTATAAAACAATCTGCACCAAAAACAAGTTGGAAAATGGAAAAATAGACAAAGTTACAAGACTGGGAAGGAACTACAAATCCCACAATCCATTGCGATTCCAACGAACCCCTCATTATTGTGGGCCAATTGCACAAATTGGCAGGCCCAGGCTCTTAAGGCCCCCCCAGGCCTGCTATAAAGGGCTCTTCAGAGGACATTTCATACCATTTATTTTCCCATTTCTAGAGCTCAGAGTTCCAGAGAGGGAAATATTTTGTATTTCTCTTTATTCTTAGGTTGACAAGACAGCAATGTGATGTATTCTATGAACCAGAGGGGCACCCCGGATAGCCCTTTGTGACTTTTCTCCAGTTTAAAGTCAGCCCAGATGGCACAGTAGTTAGGTTTCTCCACTGGAAGACTCAAAGGCCTTTTATTGATTTGACTCCACTGGGAGTGGATGCAACGGGCACTTCACCAGTTGTCCCCTCTCGAAGGGACTCGAAGGTCAGCCACAGACTGCCTTGAGTTTCCTCCACTTGCATGATACTCTGTTGGGAAAGTATCATAGGGGCACTCAAAAAGAGGATGTTAACGCCACGCTCTTCCAGCTCAGTTTTTGTCCTTTTCCTCAAAAGACAAAATGTGCTCTCCACAGAGAGTCGGCTTCGTCTTTGGGGTTGATAGCAAAAAAAGGTTTTGGTAATGGTTTGCATAAACCAACACTAACTTTACGTGAACCAGTCATCCATCTCACGGTCATGATCTTTAATCGCCGACTTCTACTTGTTCTTTAAAGTCGTACCCCGGTTAAAGTAAGAGCACCTTCGCTTCTAAGAGATATCGAGAAGATCGCAAAAGGTCACTTGGTTGCAAAAACAAAAACGCACAGCTGGTCGTACTAAGCTTATAAAGATGTGACTCACACTGACTGTACTTTAGTATAGTATGGACTTGGGACTTTGTGAATAAGCTAATCATAACAGGTTTGTTGCCTGATTAGCATTGGATAGCATAGCCCTCTCGTCTCCTATTTGCTAATAAGACGAGCTCTCTGGGTTAAATCACGACGACGCACCGCAGCTTTAGGAACAGTGTGAAGGAGGTGAACACAGACATGTCTGACTTGTTGAGTTACTTTTCTGGTATGATTTTTTGGCTGCATGGACTTCATTAGCAGCCTCTCCTTAATGTTCTGCAGCACTTGGCTGCCGTTAATTTCCCGCCCCGGTGGCGCCCCGGACACACAAAGAAGACGAGCATGCCTGTGAGACCTGCAGCAGCTTTTGTGTTTGTGATTTTTTTTGGCTGAGGCAAAGGCCGATGTTTTTTACACACGCTCACGGTTTGACTACAAGAGCTGAGGAGCGAGGTTTTTAAGCGACGGGCAGATGACTTGGCTCAACACAGCTTTTGTTTTTCTTTGCTTTTCTGTTTTTTTTTTTCTTGGCACCATTAGTAGGCTGCGTCAGTGCATCGAGCAGATCACCAGAGCAGCAACACACAACCTAGCTGAGTGAGAAAAAAAAAAAACGACACTACCTTCCAGATAATCACAGCCGAGAACACGCTCGCTTCTTGTATTCCTTACGGCGTTAAATACATTCCTTAATACGGTCCGTGCATCCCGGCTCTGTTGTCTAATTAGCTATTAATGACATCTCTTCCACTGTGGACGGCTCAGCATGGCCATTTATATGTTACATTACCGAATGATAATTCTCAATGCTCTGGAGAACAAGCTAATCCGCTGCATAATTCATCAGCGCACAGGCCTACTCCTTCATCAGTATTCATGAGGTTCCTTTTTCTCCAACATTCACAACTTCTCACATTCAGTGTTAAGGAAGCCTCCGTAAGGTCGTTACACGTTGAATCCTCCAGTTCTCTGGTCACTGGTCGAGGCTGCTGCTCGTCAGCGACACGCCTTTTTGTCTCGCAGCGTAGCGACACAAGCACGATAAAACAGAGCTAGCATCGTGTAGCTTAGGACTGATGGGAGAAGAGGCGATGCCGTCTGTGGTTACGTTTCACATTCTAACTATGACATAAAAAACCCAAACAATCGAGACGAATACTTAGGCAGCTATGGTACAAATCAGCATCCGCAGAGCAATAAAATACAGAACAAACTTCACAGATAACAAGCGAAAACTATAAAATGCAAGCCTAATACTCATTCCCTTTAGCTCCACCTTGTTGACTTCTTTACACTTTGAGGTCGACAACTTTTTCCATCATTTGTTACTTTTCGACCGAGCGTTAAAACAATACGACTTCCGTTATTTGAGGATCAATGGAATCCAAAAGTACTGCAGCTTTTAAAAATATGAAGATCTAAAAAGTCAAATCTTTAACCAGAAGCTGCCGCAAGCGTAGAGAGAGACAGAAAGAGAGGGAGAGAGAGAGAGAGGGAGAGAGAGAGAGAGAGAGAGAGAGAGAGAGAAAGAGAGAGAGAGCGGGAGAGAGAGAGAGAGAGCGAGACAAAGAGAGAGAGAGAGAGAGACAGAGGGAAAGAGAGAGAGAGAGAGAGCGAGACAAAGAGAGAGAGAGAGAGAGACAGAGGGAAAGAGAGAGAGAGAGAGAGAGACAAGAGAGAGAGAGAGAGAGACAGAGGAGAGAGAGAGAGGGAAAGAGAGAGAGAGAGAGCGAGACAAAGAGAGAGAGAGAGAGACAGAGGGAGAGAGAGACAGAGGGAAAGAGAGAGAGAGAGAGAAAGAGAGAGACAGAGGGAAAGAGAGAGAGAGAGAGACAGAGAGAGAGAGAGCAGAGAGAGAGAGAGACAGAGAGAGAGAGACAGAGAGAGAGAGAGAGAGAGAGAGAGAGAGAGAGAGAGAGAGAGAGAGAGAGAGAGAGAGCGAGCACGCAGTCTTGAAAGCATGTCCGCATGTCACTGTCTTTGTCACATTAAGGGCGTTTTCACATAGATCGTTTGCTCTGGTCTGAATCTTGGACCAACTTGTTCTATTTTTTATTAATTACCTCAGCCATCACCTCAGCTCTAACTTGGCAAACTGATACTGTTTGTTTTAACCACACCAAACAGGTTAGGTGTGAAAACGCCCTCAGGGCCCGATCACACAGAGACGTGGTGCCCTCGCTCCATTAACGCCTGGGGGGAGGGGGGGGAGGCGGGGAGTGTCTGTGGAGCGGGGCTGCGCGTAGAGCTCTTGCCGTTGCTTTGCTCTTAGACGAGAAGGGAAAATGTCAGAACACTGCTTCAGTCATATCTGACTGCGACTCTTCGTCTCGAGCTGAAGAGTTGAAAACGCTTTATCTTTAATTCGCACAGCAGCAGAGAAGAGCGCCCAGCAAGCGTGTCTGTGTGGTCGGGCCGACAGTCAGACTGTCTTGGACTTCTTTTTTTTTTTTTTTGCCGTGGTTTCTTAACAGCGATTGATATTGTTAGATTTTTATTTGTATCACCTTGAAGTTTAAAAATCTGACATTACACATCGTCAGGTTGACATTAGCACGATTAGCTCTTCTTTGTCGCCGTGCACGACGTGTCCCAAACATCGACGGACTCTTTTAATGGCGCCAACATACACAGAATAAGTAAAAAAATTCTGGATATTCGGAAATCTCAAAGTTTAAATTTTCATGTTGATTGACATGATTTGTAATTAAATTGTTTTTTTAATAAATCTTACAGAAACATTCAGAGGCTTTTTAAATCTCACAGTTAGATGCTTGTTTCCAGAGGAGCTGAAGGCGTTTGTTGTATTATTTCACTTCCTGTAACAGCGAGGGTTTAGTTTCTGATGCTCTAGGGAGGAGGAAGGACGATTTAAAAAAAGAAAAGAAATGAAGAACAACGGACAAAGCTGTGAACAAGGCGTGCTAACGATGTCTGATACCATCCGATAAAAAGATGCAAGAAACTGCCTCGTCTGTGGAGGAGGTGCTGAGACACAGTGATGTTGGAAAATGAGCGTTTGCCCACACGCCTACTTCCTGTCAAATAGCTGACACTTCCTCCCAGCGATGTTGTTGGACTCAGCTGCACTAATTATAGCGCCAAGTCCGACCGAGCCTGCAGCGTTCTGCCTCGACTGCAAAATTGTGCTTAGGAGTTAATGTCCCAGAAGTGTTAAGGCTTTTGAATTTCAATACCAGACATTTCTCTAAGTACTAATGAGCTATACGGATGAACTTTAACAAGATGTATGGACGAATGTAAGAGCGGTATTAAAGGTTTATAGATTCACAAAGAAGCACAATCAAGTCAATTTGAAAAGAAGTCGAGGAATGATGAAAAGAATTGGCCTGGTATTGGTGGTTTTTTTTGCCCAACTCATTGGATATGTTTATCTCTTTGAGTCAGAAGGAAAGGTTTGCAAAGCACCAAAGTATGGCTGAACAGGAACTCCTTAAGTCTGAATATCAATAAACCTTACTTCCTGTTTGGATCTGTTACTAAGATATGTAGATTTATGCAAAAAAGCACAGAATTGAATCCCTCATTTGTGGATGTTTCCTGGACTGTTTCTCTAAAAATCGATAAGGAAGAAGGTGAAGTTTCACCGTCTAACCTAACCATGTACTTCAATGCTCTGCGAACCTCACCTCCTAACATCGGCTCCTCGCCTTTCCTGTCATTGGGAGCCAGTAAGGATGAGGGGTTAGCATTAGTGTTAGCTGCAGTTAATGAAGCCACAGCGTGGCCACGGCGAGCAGGAGCGACAGCCCTACGGTGGAGGCCAGGGAGGCGGCGAGGAGCCTGCCGTTGTTCACCAGCCTGAAGGAGATGACCTCCACCTTGAACCCGTCCTCGGTGGCCATGCAGCGGAAAACGCCTTCCTTCAGGGGCGTGTCGACAACCGGCCCCAGGATGCAGAAGTCCCCAGAGAAGAGGCAGGGATAGTTCTTGATGCAGTTGTCCTTCTCCCAGCGGTAGGTGGCATGGAAGGAGCGCACGGGGCAAGGGAGAAAGATGGAGGTGTTGGACTGAACCATCACTTCCCTGGGGGAGGTCCGGCGCTGTTTTAGAGCTGTTAAGACAAAGAGGGAGGAGTTACACACTAAAGGAAGTTAGTTTACCCAATCACAGATGATGCTTTGGAATCAACTTGATTATTTCTCCCAGTTGGTTTAATGGTTATAAATACTGCAGCTCTCAATGCTGATCCCTACCCGGACTCTGGCTCCAAAGGTGCCGTCACAAGGATGTTTTGGCTTCATCTTTGTACGCCGGGAGAAGGATTAGGCATGTTGTCCATCTTTATACAGTCTAGCTTCATATATGAACTGAAAGTTTCACATTGCAACAACAATTTGCCACTGCAGGTGTTGATTTTACTTCTCTGTACAACTACCTGATGAACATTTTTAGAGCTCATCTCCATGCTGCTCTTCACACCGGTTGTTTTGTCAGTTTTTAACAAGGCAGGATTACCAAAGTGAAACCGCCTGAAGGCTCCCCCATCATCAGGGACCAGATGTCCTCATATTCATTATGTGCGAGTTAGTTTGTGGTTATTTGATTAGTGGCTAATGAATTTGGGAATATGCTCCACTACACTCCATTATCATGCAGAAATTATGTGGGCCTTAAGGCAGGTCCTACATTATCATCTGTCTTTTAAAAGGGGCCATGTGCCAAGCTGTCAACAGGGACCCATAGCTGAATTCTGTCTGGAGGCTCCCTCACAGGTTCATCCAATCACGATCTCAGGGATTCACACCGAGGTGTTGTATCTTTAGTTTGTCACTCCGGTGGAATAAATTGGATTGAACCTGTGTAGTCAGGTCTCTGTGGGTGAAGAGAAATGAAGACAGCTGCAGACTCAAGTTTAGCTTCATCATTAACAATTCTGCCGACTGTCTGCCACTCGAAGTGACTTCAGGTGAAGATCAGGATTGCACCCTGCCATAAAAGGTCATGGGAAATACTTCCATTTTAGGTTTTTTCCAAAGTCTTTCTCCTGGGACGCCTTTGTCATTACCCGCCCCCCTCCTCCCTAGAGTCGATGCTCACGCAGGTTGCCATCATAGACTGTAAATATGAATGTTTGAAGCATGAGTGATGTCACCCGTCTGTTCCTGCAGGGGGAGCTGGAGTCCGATCAATGGCAGTCTCCCCACTGGAAATGCTGTCTCAGCCTAACTTTCAGTCAACCTAATGACAGGCTGAGAGCTGGAGCTGAGGCGGGTTTTAAACCTCCTGACAAACCGTTACACCGCGCCCGCCTGTCAATCAGGTCAGCTACATGCCTTATTGTGAATAACTCTTATCCTTCATCAAATCAAAACTGATGAGTCATCAAAACATTCACCCCCCGTACAGTGTGTGTCGATCGAGACATGAGCTAATCAGACCTATTTGTTTTTTTGAACCAGTCTGTAAACATGTTCATTTCTGCTGTAAAAACAGACTTTTTAGAATGGGTGTGTATGTGACTTACTGTGTTTCTGCAGCCAGCCTCTAGTGGACACTTGAGGAACTGCTTAATTTCCTAAAACCAGAGTTTTTTTGCGAGGTTTCCATGTCGCAGACACTGTAGCTTCTGTTTAGCCAACTCTGCATCAGTCTGTAAACCCTTCTGCATTCTAACCTCGAACCGAGGGGGCATCCAAAATGTCCAAAAATGTCTGATCAAATAGTAAGGTCACTTTATCATCTCACTCACTACACATCTTACTGTTGGACCTTTAAGTTTAACTTTCAATGGAAAAAGATTAAAACGTGTCGCTGTATTGGCGGACAGGACATGTGTCGCCTCTGACGTAAGTTGAAATAAAGTCAGTGTTAAAATCCGATGACTAGAGGAGATAGCCGTCCCCTCAGAGGGGGGTTGAAGTCGTCATCATTCGAGGTTATAACTGAGTTTGAAGCTCTGAGACGGGGCCAGATGTGGAAAAAAGAAAAACACTTCTCCCTGCAGGGTTTTTGGACTATGCTTCAATTATATGATAATCATCTTTTGACTGTAGCTGCGCAGAAAGGTTCCTATTCTAGTTTAATTAAGAGAGAGGGGGTGAGAACAGATAAGGGCTCACCAGCAGCTTCCCCGCAAACCGACGAGTTGGAATGGTCCAGATTCTGAACGAGCGCCCTGTCGGGAAACAATAGAGAGGACAAATTAGCAACATTAAACAGTTTCACAAACGGCTTATGAGCCTGCACATCAGCTGACTGTTACATTCAAATGAAAACATGCAGAGAGAAATCTTTCAGCGGCGTCGGAGGGAGGAGGGGGAGAGCGGAGTCACAGGCTCATTACAGCACATGATTGATTTTCCTTTTCTCTCTAAAAATTGGAAATTCAAAGATCCATTAAAGCCAGAACAATTCACTAACCAAGGGAGTCAAAGCTGTATTAGTTCAACAAGCATATTTTTAATAAACTGAACTCATTATAGGAAAGTTTTCATCACCTCACAGCCAACGATCGTCTGATTTATTCCACGTTAACCCTTTAAAAATAGGCCTCCACCAGGGGGTCGATCAGTCGTCAGGTTGGACGTTCATTAATTAAGCCGTCAGGGTAAAATAAAAAACGTTTTTTATTGTGTGATAACAACCCCAGACATACAGGGCGGCTGTGGCTCAGTTGGTAGTTTGTCGTCTCATAACCAGAAGGTCGGGGTTTCGATCCCCAGCTCCTGCAGCCACATGTCCAATGTGTTCTTGGGCGAGACACTTAACCCCCAAAGTCCATTTACATTGACAGTTCCAGGTTACCTTCACAGATGAAGTCCAGTGGACTTGGTGCAATTCAGGGGTGAAGTAGCATTTGGTTCGGTTTGCTTTCACACTGTCAAGCGCACCAAAGCCTGTCAAATGTTGTGTACTAGTCCACCGACTAGTCGGGTCTGTAGCTCCAGTTAGTGGCTACTGCCATCCAGACTAATGCTGACCTTCGACCCCAAAAATAATTGTAATTGACTGGCGATCAATCCAAGGTGTACCCCGCCTCTCGCCCAATGACAGCTGGGATCGACTCCAGCCCCCAGTGACTAAGAAATGGCTATAGATAATGGATGGATGAATGGACTTGTCTGTAGAGACATTTCTTCATGATTGATTTGGATCAAAATATTTTGTAGTTTTTTTGTGGATTTAGAAAAAATAGGTGTAGTTCCTCTAATTGTTTATTTTATTTCACAACATAATCTTTACATAAATGTCATTCTGCCTGACGTCATCTTTCTGTCAACATACGTCTACATGATGGGTCGACAGATTTGAGGGATACAAAGCATCAGAAGAAGTCTGAATCAGAGCGTATGCTGGTTGAGTCATTGCTCTTGCAGAGTTTAAAGGGTTGTTGCTTCACATCTTGCAGTACTGCTTGTGTTTTTTTTTAAGTGCTAATGAGAGTCCTCTCCTCTCTCGTCTCCTCACATGAAAACAGACTCTGCAGTAGTGACATCATATCCAATCATACCCAGTTGTGTCGTTGTATCCGGGCGGGATGGCGACGCACTTCCTCCTGGCCCTGTCCCAGCCGCAGTACGGATCTCTGGAAAGGATGCACTCTCTGCATGAGTCGCCATAGCGACCGCAGTCAGCCAGCGGCAGCCGCTGGATCTCCATGGCTGTGCCGACATACAGGTGACCCTAAGGAGGACAAGATGTGACAGAATTTGTGTTTTATGGTTTAATAACGGCACAGTATTACTGGGATAAGTCAGACAGAGTTATGTTCTGTTATTCAGACCACTTATTACAAAAAGAGCGAGGAGCAGTCACTGCGACAGCCGGAGAAAGGTCTTCAAATCAACATGGAACAATAAAAACAACTGAGAGGAAATGTAAAAAAGAATTTCAAACCACATAACTTGACTGAAACCTTTCATTTTAATTCATTCCCACACCTGCCTGACGTCCTACAAATGCATGCACACTATTTTGAAATCTATGTGTAGGGTTCATAATCTTTGGATGCCAACAGATTATTAAAGGTCACATATTATATAAAACACACTGCACCATGTTCCTCTAACTCTAATATGTGTCCCTAGTCTGTCTAAAAACCCCCCAATGATGAGAAAAGTCCATCCTCTCCATCTTTTGCCTGCTCCACTTTTCAGAAAATGTGTGCTCAAACAGGCCGTTTGGAGATTTTCCCTTCATGACATCACAAAGGGCAGTAACCTCTCCCCCAGGTGGGTGACACTCCCACAGCTAGGTGTTTGTTCTGTCCTCTGAGTCTGCCTTCTCACCGTAAACAATAGGACATGGAGCGAGAAAGCCCGAGCAGACCCAAACCCTTCCAGAGAGGGGGCGTGGTCAGACACAGCTCATTTACATATTTAAAGGTACAGACACAGAAACAGCCTGTTCTGAGCAGGGCTGAAATAGAGGGGTTTATAGACATGATCAAATACAGGATCAGAGTGGATTTAGAACAAGAAACTTCACAAACATGTTTTGAGGAGCTCTGAGACTTATTTAAACTGGTTGAAGAGGAGGAGGATATGTGACCTTTAAACCATACGCACTGATTTGAAAAGTGTAAGCACAGTTTTTGCAGGTGGATTTGGAATTCATATCCTTGTGCACACTTTAGGAAACAGTGCCAACAGATTGAAAATCTGTGCTCAAAGATCTGTAATCGGTGGAAACAGATTTCTTCCCTCAGCCTTCAGGGAGGTAAAACCAAAAATCCACATCCAATCTCACAAGTCTGTATATTTATGTGTTGAGCTGCAGGCAAAAGTTTAATTTTGTAGAATTCTCATCAAAAGATGAAAAAGAAGTTAATAAAAAAGCACGAGAAACGTTTGACACTGCAAGATCTGTGACTCTCACATGATACAAAAGATTTATCTAATTTTCTTTTGTTCATGTCTGTTTAAATGTTTGGTACAAAATCTGCATAATTGGAAAATGTCAGATTCAATTAGTTTTTGTAGATGTCGGTCGAGGATGAAGGGGCTGAATCAACTCTCTGACAAGGAAACAAAAGTGCCCTAACTAAAATCATCTGTTATCAAGTCTTTGTACGTACATATTCATTCAACAACGGCGTAATATTGGCGTCCCAGTCTGTGAGTTCAAGAAAATACAATACTTAATGTCCCCGAGGGGGAAATTTGTTTTCACAGCTTTGCATGTTTGACACACATAAAGAAAAACATATAACAGGTGGAAGCTTGTTTAGGGCTGAGGGGACAGAGCTCTTTTTAAAGCGTGCCCTTTCCAGGTCAGAGTCCGGGATCTCTGATCTAATGGCAGAAAAGAAAAGGGTGGATGGAGTGGTTGAGAGGGGTCCTGGGCTGTGGTGGGTGCTCTATGAGTCAGTGCTTTGTATTTGAGAGGTGAGAGGTTTTGGGCAGGCCTATGATTCACATTGCATTACGGTGATGTGGAAGCCCGGCACAGCAAGATCTCCACATACACACACAGTCAGACGTGCACACACACACAGCGCTGACTCAGCTGATCCCGTCTCTCCTCTGTTACTACCTCTAAAGACTGTAGAAAATTATTTTTAGGGGTGGCTGTGGCTCAGTTGAGTCGTCGCCTCTCACCAGAAGGTCGAGGGTTCAATCCCCAACTGAGCAACATGTCCGATGTGTCCTTGGGCAAGACTCTTAACCCAGCATTGCTCCCGCTGCTTCGGCGGCGGTGTATGAATGGATTAGTGTTGAACTTACTCTCTGATGTACGTCGCTTTGGACAAAAGCGTCTGCTAAGTGAATTGTTGTTGTTGTTGTTGGTACAGAGGGGGGGAGTCACTTCGTCCCCCATTACGCCTCCACTACATTCAGGTGGAAGGTGAAATGTCTTAAAAATGGCGGTCTGAAGAAGTCAAATGACTCCTGGGTCCCGTAGTTTGCTGCAGTCGATCGCTGTGAACAGCTGCAACGTAATCTTTGGAGGCTAAAAGCTCCGTCAAAGATTTTAAAACCAGAAACAAGAACAACCTCGCTCTCTGCAAAGCCATCAGACTGCATCCAAAACATATCAATAAAATCAGCTCCTGGAAAACGTTGAGTTGCTGCTCTACTGCTGCCTCATCTGTCAGTGTGTGTGTGTGTGTGTGTGTGTGTGTGTGTGTGTGCGTGTGTGTGTGGATGTGTGGAATACAAGCCTTTACAACACTAAAGAGACAAACTGCAGAACAGCATCTCTCCTCGTGGATGCTCATTGATCGGGGGGGCATCGGCCCTCAAATTATCATGTTTCATCCGTCACAGCCTGTCGCACAGCTGATGTCTGAGAAAGTCGTCAGGGGATTTTTTTGAATTTTGAACACAAAAATATGGACAAACATGGAATATGTAATCACAAATCAAGGACCAGTGTCCACCTGGTGTTATCAGGGGCAAGAGAAGCGCCGGCTGTGCGCTCGGGTGAAGTGCTTGTGCGCTTAGTATAAAAGCGCTGCACGTCGCATCTTGTCTCCATGACAACGGCCGCTGTATGACCCACACTGCTCCGTTGCTTTTTGTGTGAATGTTTCATAATTGAGATATTTCACTGTGAGCATCAAATGGAGAATGTTCGACCTCCTACTTTGTCTGGATGATGAGTTTAATAATAACAACGTCCTCGCTATCACAGCTCCGATCAGACAAGGTAAGAGTCCCCACCAGGCTACTATAGGACTGGCTGGTTGAAAAGAGCGCCGGTTGACATCAACTAAATAAAGGCGGAGTGCTCAGAAAAAGGAGGCTGGGCGTTGTGTCAATTCTGTGTGCGTCCGCCTGCTGCTGCAAACGCTCCATCGTCTTTGGAAACAATCGAAAAAAGAAGCTGGCATTTAAAAAATCCCACCAGGTAGACACAGGCCCTAGAGGGAGGACTAAGTGTTTCAGATTTTTATCCGACAATTCTTCACAAATTCTCATGTTTACCTTTCATGTTGTCAGTCTGTGTCACCGATAGAGCAGCTTTTCATGGTTTTCAGCTCCTCATTTATCTGATACTGGCGTCAGTTCAAACCCTAACATCTTCTCCGGCTGTCTCTTTAAGCCCCTCCCTTACCTAGATGCCCACTCTGTTGCTGATTGGCCAGTTCTTTAGAAGCCTTCCAGAGTGGGCGTGTCCTTGAATTCTGCTAGTGCAGGGGCTGTTGTTCTACTTTACAGGGACTGGACTTTTGGTCAAATGATTGTTTCTAGCACAGACTGTATATTAAGATGGACTGAGTGAAGACAAAATGTGAGAGCGCCCCCTGTGGACTTGCTGCAGTATAGCTCATAAACCCCGCCTCCTCCATGTGAACAGATAACTATATAATCAAAATGCATGCCAGATAACTTTTTGTCTCACATGGATTCTGTTGTGATGGTTAGTCCTTCTGAATTGGTTAGTTTGATGCTAACGTCAGGAAATGCAAAGTGATGTCATGATTGACAGCTCTCTTGACGAATGAGGCTTCTTACAACCATTTCTATTCAAGCAGCCAGCGACCTTCTGTGCATGTCTTGGCTCCAAATGTCTTCCCCGGCCCAATATGTCAGCGCCTATCACATGGTTATTTTGGCTTCATATTTGTACAAGAGAAGGCGGAGACATGCTGTGTGTATTTATATACAGCGAATGGTATCTACATACAGCTGCTGTCGGCCTGAAGCGAGGCCTGAAGCCGGATGTGTTGTGCATGATGAAAGCAGGACCAACACCACACAGAGCATCATTGCCCTACGTACCTTTTGGGAGTCGATGGCCATGTTCAGGACGGGTCCTTCGTTGTGAAACAGCGAGTACTGAGAGATGATGAAGACCCCCTCGCTGCTGTGGAGAACTTTCAGGACTTTGCCTTGATCTGTAGAAATCAGAGAGAAAAGATGTTGTGGATGGATTGTAATAAAGACGGAGAGAGAGAGAGACACACAAACATCCTCTGTGTCGTGTGTTAACTTTTGAGCTTTTCTCTTTAGCTGCCCGAGCTGCCGCCCGTTCTGTGCAGTCCAAAGTGTTAAATAAATATATGGATTTGACTTGGACTGCCTCCACTCTTAAGATGCCCTGGAGAGCCAAAGGCAAAATGGTCGACTGGAGTTTCTGAGTTTTTATTTGAACAGGTGTTTGTGAAGGCGGAGCTGCTCGGTTCTCGTTTGACCTCCAGAACTGGCTACGATAAAGCAACAGCAGCAGTGGAAAAAGTGACTTTGGGATTCTGGGTGTTTAAGGTTAAATTTGTGGTGTTTTAAATACGAACAGAGTATGTTTTTGAAGGAGCATACTGCAGTGACACCTCAAGCTGGACAGAATAGATCGACCCAAACAGGAAGTTAGACAAGAAAACGCACGAGCGGCTGGTCAATTTCAAAATAAAACACAACATACAGACTCCTCATTGTATTTTCCATCACTTTATCAACCTGACGTCAAAACAGGCTGAACAACAAATCATCCTCAGAAAGACAAAGCCACATGTTGTTAGCACGGTTTTCTTTTTATTCCCGTGTGACCTTGTAGTTCTCCTGATTTTGTAGTTCTCCTGATCTTGTAGTTCTTCTGTGATCTTGTAGTTCTTCTGTGATCTTGTAGTTCTCCTGAGATCTTGTAGTTCGCTTGTGATTTTGTAGTCCTCTTGTGATCTTGTAGTTCTCCTGTGATCTTGTAGTTCTCCTGTGATTTTGTAGTCCTCTTGTGATCTTGTAGTTCTCCTGATCTTGTAGTTCTCCTGTGATCTTGTAGTTCTCTTGTGATCTTGTAGTCCTCCCGTGATCTTGTAGTTCTCCTGGTCTTGTAGTTCTTCTGTGACCTTGTAGTTCTTCTGTGGTCTTGTAGTTCTCCTGTGATCTTGTAGTTCTATTGTGATGTTGTAGTTCTCTCTACAGCCATGAGAACTACCTGTTCTCATGGCTGTAGGGTGGGCGCAATAGCATGGAGCCAAACCGTGACGCTGACACAACTAAATAGTTGTGGGAATTTGTTTCTTACCTTCTTCAGGTAAAACAAATTAGTACACAATTACCCAGAACCTGATATGTTTTTGTTTGCTAAATAAAAACCACGTCTTCTGTTGCCGAAGCATTTTTCTCACAAACCGTTTACAGTGTCTCGCTCCGCAGTGTTTTCTTTATCACATCGTAGCGTCTCCGTCGCTGCAGGCCAATAAAAATGTTAATGTTACCTTTTTATTTGCATTACCTAACTTACTTTGTTCCGGCGGCTGCGTCTCCCTCTCCAAATAAAAAGACTTGACAGATCCCGAGGCTCCCTGCAGAGAGATGTTCCAACTTGTTTCGTCTTTTGTCACGTTTTTGGATAATTCACCTTCCCCCTCCTCCCCCCACTGTGAAAATGTGATTATAGCGAAACCCTTTTATCCGACGCCTTCATTTCCTGCCGCTGCCTCCAAGAGGCACGAGTCGTCTGGTTTGTCATCATGCAGTCGGGCTCTTGCTGTCACTGACTTGTCTCTTTTTCACAAACTTCAAATCTCTTTATTCTCGCTCTCTCTCTCTCTCTCTCTCCCCGCAGTCAAAGATAACATTCCCCATTTCAACCAGTTTATTCTCATCCGATTCTTTAATTCCGCCTGCAGCTATTTTCAGCGTTTTCCTCAAAAACGGTGTGTCAGCACTAAAATAGCAGCAAGACATTCAGAGAGCAAGAAAAAAAGGTTGACAATGCTGAACTCGTGCTGCATCTGCTGAGAGAATCTGTTGTTTTTTTTTGGTTTTATTTATCCAGGGGGAGTTTGCTGAGCAGATCCATTTCTTCTCACAGCAAACACCTCCCCTAATACCTTTTAATATACACACTCACTGTGAAAACTATGGCTAATAATCTGTTTTTCACATCTCTCTATGGTGCAAGCTCTGACTCAGAGTCATACTTCTCGGCGCGGTTTAAGAAAATAGCCTCTGATCTCGAACACAAAGCTGCATAGAAACCGGTGTACGCCGCTGCAGACATTTCTTCCGTCCCCCGAGGAGAGCTTTCTGTTGTATCGCCCTCCGTGACTGAGCTGGTCAGAGCGGCCTGTTTTCTTCTTCTGGTGGTCAATCTGTCAGAGAGCTCCTGAGGCGAGAGAAACCGATCTCTACTGACCGATCCTTTCTTCTGTTTCCAACAGACGCTGGCCTCAAGAGACTAATTGCTCTAGTTTTATTCTGGTTCTGACGGGTCGCCAACCTTTCATACATTCTCTGCAGCTTTTTCTCTCGTGTTTAGCGGCCTGACAAACACACACACACACACACACACACACAGAGACACACACTAAGAGTGGACTTGCAGGCTTGAGAGATGTCTAGATACATAAGAGACAATGGACACACACACACACAGAGCGCCAGACGTGCTTAACTTCAATTCTTGACTGTAGACAATGCCTCTGGCTCTGTAGACTCTCTCTGGCACTTTTTAATGGGGCTAACTGACCAACCGATCATTTTAGCAAACAGAGATTTGACCCGTACAGGTTTTTATCACTCCGACCTCTGACAAACACCACGGGCGCAGACATCAGACAATTAAAGGGCGTTTACGAGCTTGCCCAAGAACTTCTCACTCCCACGGGTCGTATTTCTCACAGCAACTTTAAACAAAATACAAAATTGTGGAATTGGAAGAGGTGAAAGATTTCTTTTGGGTCAATACAGGAAGTCTAAAACAAGAACTACGACTACTAAGCTGAAGATCACTGTGTGCACCGTTGAGATGGGTTCTGATGATGTTTGGCTGTTATGTTTGGGTTCTGATCTATACTTCCTTCTTCTGTATTCGGTCTTAGAGCAACGGTAACAACAGAATTTCCCCCTGGGATTAAAAAGTATTTCTGATTCTGATTCTGATTCTTATGATGTTTGGGTTCTTAGACCAGCTCTTCAAGCGGACTCGGGCACAGTACCCAAGTGAAGTATGTTTGTGTTCACACTGATCAACTGAACTTTGGGGTCAAGCGTTCTCGGATCAGGGCCCGGGTCCCGAGTGTGAAACCGCCCTTAAAATACCAACTGCTAAGTGGGACATCAAACCGCAGCATCTTCAGAGACGGACACCACAGGCAAGACGCTACCAAAAGCTTCTCTATAGAAATCACAACCTGCTCAATCACCAAAGACCTAAAAGGTGTTTCTGTTTCATTAAAAAATAACTTTGAGTATGAAAGTCGCTCTGCAGCCCGGTCATGCTGCCATGTTTTAAAGATGACAGAGATGGCAGTAGCGGGTAATCACATGCATATGTTCTACTGCTGCCTGGTGATCAAAAGAAGGATAAATTCACTTTGTCAAATCCTGCAGCGTTGTGTCAGGCTGCATCTCACAGAGGAAGGTCCCGGCGAGACCCGTTAGACCGTTTAAAACTCAGAGCTCATGCTCAGATATTTAGGTAATTAGGACTCTGCAAGCTGCGAGGCGCCGACCCGTCAGTTTGGTCAACATTATAAAGTGGATTCCTTTAGACTCAAAGTAGACCTCTTCTCCAGACAGCTGTGACTAGAATAAACAAGATGTGTGCCCCTGTGGGTGGACGGGCCGGTGGGCGGGCGGGGAGGAAATTAGATGAGTAATGTACTCTCATAACAGACACCATCAAGGTGCCCTTATGCACGGCACCCACTGTCTCGTCGTTCTACTTGAGCTGAAGTGTCGACGAGCCGGAGATCAGCTGAGAGTGAGGAATGAAAAAAAAAAAAAAAACTGCTTCAGTGAGCGACTGGAGGTCAAAGGCTGTACAGGCCTTCTGCAACATGTTATTTTTAAACTCTGATCAAATCAAGACGACAAAGTGACAAACATCTAAAATTAGAACGTCTTGCCTCTTTCCCCGTTTGAAGATCCTGTGAGGAGTTCTTCGCTAGCTGTAAAATGGACCCAAATGAAAACAGATGATTTTTTGGGGGCTTTTTGTGCCTTTATTGGAGGGATAGGACAGTGGATAGAGTCAGAAATCAGAGAGAGAGAGAGAGAGAGGGAAATGAGATGAGGGAAAGAAGCCACTGCACCACCAGCGCCCTGAAAACGGATGATTTTCTGTGAAATACAAACGAAACAAGACCAACAGAGACGATCAACGATGAGCAGAGGATTAGTCGGCGATTAACTGAGCGATTAATCTGTCAATCACATAATGTTCTGCAGGAGAGAGCGTTCCCAGCAGCAGGCAGCACCCAGGCTTTTTCCGAGCGCTCTGTCGTTTTTGTGCGGCCGCTCCGAGCGCTCAAGTTGAAAATCGTTCAACTTTTCAGAAAGGCGCTGTTGACATCACCGGCCCTTTTTTTTCTAAATGTATGATATTCCCCGTAGTTTCCTCGCTCCGTTTCTGATCGAGGAATAAACGATCTCAAATATAAAACATGCAGTAAAAAGTAACGGAGCAGTGTCGGACATACAGCGGGCGTTGTTAACAGACTGTTGTCATGGAGACAGGATGGACGTGCAGCACTTTTCTTCTCAGCGCTCAAACGCTTCATGCAGTCGTTCCCGAGCGCACAGCCAGCGCCTTTCTGCCCCGGAAAAACCTTATTATCTGTCTCAACACAAAAAATCATGACAGCTTCAGTTTGGAAGCTGTAACTTTTAACGAGGATGGAGTCAAACGACATCGTCCTCAGCGGGCTAAACGAACCGGAGCAAATTGGGAGAACGCATTAGTGTTTCATTTAAAGGCACTCGATAGATTAGACCTGACTGCAGACTTTTTGTTGAGGAGAAGGAGTGCGGTGTAGGGTGATATCATCCCCCTCAAAGATATTTATTGTTCTAACACTCAGGGTAATATTTGCTCTCCAGGCACCACGCTAACATCAGCCTCGCACCAAGATTAACGGTGCGGTCTGTGACTCCGAGCGGCGTCTCTGAGAAGGATATTTATTGGAATTCCTGTCGCAGGGGGGAAGACTAATGTCCCGAGGCTACCCAGAATGCATCTGCTTCGATTTCACCGCCACTGGCCCTAGAGGTAGATCCTGTCTCACCACTTCTACTCGTCTGATTGGTTTAAAGCGCTCTAATGCGCCGATCCATCAGGAAGAGCTGCCTGTCTGTGTGCTTCACTCAGGGAGGATTGGATCATTGAAGAGGGAGCCGCCCTCAATCATTTGTAGAGATATACGAGAGCATGTTTGAAATTAATTATGCAGATTGATTCCTTTGAGAGCCCCGTGAATATTCATGGCTGCACGCCTGAAGAGGAGGTGATGCAATATTGAAGAGGAGAGAAGAGGGGCAATCAAAGCAGAGTTTAGAAAAAAAGTTTAGAGCGTCAGGCGCACACTGAAAGAGTTTCAAAACCTTAACAGAGACCCCAAACATGACGAGGAACAACGACAGAGTCGACCGTTATGTGGAGAAACGTTACAACAAAGTCCTGACCCTAACAACTGGAAATCTCATAAAAACTCAAACACAACAGACTGAACAAAAAAGTTGCTGTGATAGATTTTTAGATCGTTTTCTACTGAACAGAAAGAATCCGTAGATAAAGTTGTTGGCTGTACATGTCGTGCAAGCTGGAGGAAAATATATGTCCTGCGGCTGTTGTTTTTACTCCATCAGTCAGCTCGCTTCCCAATTTTCTATCCTTTCATTCCACATAACAATCCACTGAGCGAAGGCTCTACTGTCCTCGCCCCCCCCCCCCCCCCCCAAACAACAGCTGATCAGATTAGAAATATTAAAATGGGTGCATCCATGTCATTCTTCAGAGCCGGTTTGAGGACGTAAAATCACTTTTAACAAAACTGACACAGCACAGAAACATCTGAATGATCTTTGACATCTTTAGAAAAGGGCTGGTCACGGGGGGGAGTACTTTACTTGCTGTGTGCTATTATTTTGAAATTCAGTACGGCCTTTCTGGTAGATGGAAGGTAAGGATATGTAGTTAAGCACAGAAACAGGAAATGGTTAGGGATCCCAAAGTGAGGTCAAACAGCTCAAAGGAACGGTAACAAAGGTCAATGTGTGATGTCATAAGGTCAATGTGTGATGTCATATGTCATAAGGTGGATATTACTTTGGACTCGTCAGGTGAGCTGTCTGAGAGTTTGTTAAAGTGAAATGAGACATTCAAAGATGCAGCAGTGTCCTTCTTTTACATCACTGAGACTACAGGGAGACACTGAGGACGATAATCTACGGAGAGCCTGAAGGGACAAAATAACACGAGATTAATCCTGCTTAACTAGTTGATGCTGACAGGGCTAGTTTTTATTAAATCTGTTTCAAACAGAGGTTTCAGATTCATAGATCCATAGTTTTCACCGCTTAAGCCTAAACACTTTCTTCTCATAAATCACAAGAGTAGAAACAACCAGGAGTGAGAGTGATGGCACGTTGTTTCAAACGCTGATGCTTGAACATAAAAAATAATAAAGAAACATTCAGTACTCTGGGAACAGCAGATCGCCTGGACAACCTGTTCCTCCAGTCTCAGACAGAGTGCTCCAGTTTCTTTTCAGGCCAGCTCCATCCCTCCATCCCTCCGTCCTCTCATCCCTCCATCTCTCTATCCCTCCATCTCGCCATCTCTCCATCCCTCCATCCCCTCATCTCTATCCCTCCATCTCTCCATCCCTCCATCCATCCATCTCTCCATCCCTCCATCTCTCCTTCCCTCCCTCCGTCCCTCCCTCTGTCCCTCCCTCCGTCCCTCCCTCTGCCCCTCCTTCCCTCCATCTCTCCATCCCTACATTTCTCCATCCCTCCATCTCTCCTTCCCTCCATCCATCCCTCCTTCCCTCCATCCATCCATCCCTCCATCCCCTCATCTCTATCCCTCCATCTCTCCATCCCTCCGTCCATCCATCCCTCCATCCCTCCTTCGCGCCATCTCTCCATCCCTCCATCTCTCCTTCCCTCCATCGCTCGATCCCTCCCTCCGTCCCTCCTTCCCTCCATCTCTCCATCCCTCCATCCCTCCATCTCTCCTTCCCTCCATCTCTCCTTCCCTCCATCACTCGATCCCTCCCTCCGTCCCTCCGTCCCTCCTTCCCTCCATCTCTCCATCCCTCCATCTCTCCATCCCTCCGTCCCTCCTTCCCTCCATCTCTCCATCCCTCCTTCCCTCCATCTCTCCGTCCCTCCTTCCATCTCTCCATCCCTCCCTGACACAGTTACCAAAGCCCACAGCGAGAGGCCATCATACTGTCTTTTTAAACTCTGGATTGTTTTCTCCGTGCTATTCTAAGAACCAACCCAGAAATGTCGGATGAATGACGGGCACATACAAGCACGGCAGGAGAGAAATTGTACTCAGGAAATGACACTGACTCGCCTCCCTGTGAACTTCAGCGCTGCCGAGACGCTCGTACACACTCCGGCATATGACTGCTGATGGTTGCCATAGTAATCTCCCCGAGGCACAAGGCAATTTTTGGAGCAACCGCCATGGGCGACGGCAGCGCCTCAGCATTGCTGCTTTGATCAGATAGAAAAGAGTCGAGCAAAAGAGGGCAGGAGTCATTTATATAAACTGTGAATAGAGTCTCAACCTTGTGTTTGCATTTTCTCCTCCTCAGGATGAGCTCTTGTTTCCTTCATTGTTGTAGCTATGAGCTGTAGAGAGCATTTATTAAAGCTGTTTATAACATTTCATTATTCCAGCATGTGGTTTGGAGCGGCTGGACTCCTGTGTCTCTGGGTTGTATGATTCACTCGCCCTGGGAAAGTGCTGATAATGAGCATGTTTAGCAGAGGATCAGATTATATTGATGCATTAACCAAGCAACAGCAAAAAGCACGTAGAGGCAAATGCATGAGGAAATCAAATCAATGTAATCCTTAAATCTGGGAGTCTATTAGGGCACATGACGTGCAGAAAGACTAGATAGGGTGTGAAAGTATGTTTTAAATCTGTATTTTGTATTCTCCAGCTCGCTGCATGTAAAGCAGTTGTCATAGGGACAAACCCAGAGAGAATGATCATCCTTCCTGCAGCTTTTCAGCCTCTCTTCTGCTCACTTTTTTTTGGATTTTACAGCACATTTAATGTCCGGTTCTGCCTCAGCACTGTCATCAATCCCATTTCAAGCAGCAGCAGCAGCAGCAGCACGTCGGCTGTTTTAAAGGAAGAGAGCTCTGACACGACAGCTGTGTCTCAGTTCAGGAGCTGCATCCTTCCAAGGGCACATCTGAAGACAGATTGTGTCACAGCCAGTGCTGGAGGTGAGTCACCGAAACCTGGATTCCGAGTGTGGGTCTGATTCCTCAGTGCTCAAGTCGCAGTCGAGTCCTTAAGGTCGAGTCTGAGCTGATCTAAGTTAAGCTTTAGAGTTTGTTAAATGCTTTCTGAGCTCCAACTCTAACATTTAAATGATCAATGACGTTACAGTGTCATACGTCAGGATCTTACCATTCTCAGTGAATCAGGACTTTTTATTTTAATTTTATTTTTTTTACTTTTATTCACCAAAACGTGCATACACACACCCACACAATAAAAAAAAAACAGGCACAAACAAGAGGGGAACTGTGGTAGGATACAGTTTTGCAAGCATATTTAGAAAAAAGCAAACAGACAAACAAAACAAAACAAAAAGGGGTCAGTAAATAAAATGAATGAATTAGAAAGAGGGACAAAATAAGTAAATGAGCAAACAGGACAAAGAAAAACATGGGGACAGTATGGTAACAAAATTATGTAGAATAAAACTGGTGGGATAGGTTGTACACATGGTGACGATTTTTGGTGTTATCTGTTTGTTTTTGTTTTGTTTTTCACTTTGTATGGGTGCTAACATGATGATTTCCAAATACAGATAGCAAATAAAGTGAATCAGGACTTATTGTATCGCCCACATTGAGACTGTGACAAATCCACGTGCACACTCACCTGTTCCCAGGTAGAGGACGCTGTAGTGCTCATCGTTGACTGCCAGGACTATATCCGCCACAGTGTGTGTGATCTGGTCGTCCGTAGGCAGGTCGAGTGGAGACACACCAACTGGCCGAATCACATCCTCTATTTCTGGGTGGTATCTGATCACCCCAAGGTTCTTGATGTCGTTGGGACCTCCTGCTGTCGAGTTCTTGCGGACACACTGAGAGGAGAAGTGATGTAATCAACTCAAGCCAGGCAGGGTTCTTGAATAAACAAAATGCCCTTGAACAGGAGTTCCAGATTGCTTTTCTTTTATTAAAAATGAGTCTTTTCAGAAGAAGCACTTCCACCTCTCTCTCCGGTGAAATGAAGGCTAACTGGTGCATTTTCTCTTTTTTTATCTAAGTGTTGTTTTGTTTCCCAACAAATGGAAGGGAGAAAAGCCTCCCCGGTTTATCTTACCATCCCAGGGCGACTGCTGATGAATGGACTGCTGTAGCTCTTCAGTTTAGACGTGGAGAAAGCTTGGTCAATGTCTTCAATGGAGTAGGCACAGATCACATTTCTGCCCCTGAAAAAAGGCAGAGAGACCAGATAAGTGCAAGCTCGGAGAGGACATGCAGGGGACATAGCTAGGAAAGGACCTGAAGGGGACATAGCTAGGACAGGACATGTGGGGACATAGCTAGGAAAGGACCTGAAGGGGACATAGCTAGGAAAGGACATGTCGGGACATAGCTAGGAAAGGACCTGAAGGGGACATAGCTAGGAAAGGACATGTCGGGGACATAGCTAGGAAAGGACATGCAGGGGACATAGCTAGGAAAGGACCTGAAGGGGACAAAGCTAGGAAAGGACCTGAAGGGGACAAAGCTAGGAAAGGACATGTTGGGGACATAGCTAGGAAAGGACCTGAAGGGGACAAAGCTAGGAAAGGACATGCAGGGGACATAGCTAGGACAGGACCTGAAGGGGACAAAGCTAGGAAAGGACATGTGGGGACATAGCTAGGAAAGGACCTGAAGGGGACATAGCTAGGAAAGGACATGTCGGGACATAGCTAGGAAAGGACATGCAGGGGACATAGCTAGGAAAGGACCTGAAGGGGACAAAGCTAGGAAAGGACCTGAAGGGGACAAAGCTAGGAAAGGACATGCCGGGGACATAGCTAGGACAGGACCTGAAGGGGACAAAGCTAGGAAAGGACATGTCGGGGACATAGCTAGGAAAGGACATGCCGGGACATAGCTAGGAAAGGACATGCAGGGGACATAGCTAGGAAAGGAGCCTGGGACATAGCTAAGGAGGAAGTAGGGTGTTCTAAACGGCACTGGCCCTCACTTTTCTCCCTCAGCAACAAGCTTGTTAGATTGTTTTAAAAAGTGTAGATAGCGGTGCATTAGTAATATCCACATCCATGATTGAAATTTTGACCTTTGACCTGCATCAACACGGGAGAAAAACCTTATTCGGCTAACCATAATCCGTTAATTGACGAGCCTCTGAATGTTGTGATTTGAGTCTACAGCTCGTCAATACAAAGCACCACACTTCAGTTTGTCCACCTTCAAAATAAAAGCACCACACTTCAGTTTGTTCACCTTCAAAATAAAAGCACCACCTGATGCAATGTTTAGAAGGGAAACTTAAATTCACAGAGAATGAAATATTTAATGGGTGCAGTGTGATCGTGCGTGATGCTAGCACGTGGCGTTGCTTGTTCATCTTTAAGATTCCTTTAACTAGACTCTTGTTCACGCTGTCTCGCCTTTCCTGGTTTCTATTCACTGACTTTTAACAGGTTTAGTTTCAGACAGAGTTGTGTTCCACTGCTTCGTCTAAGTCCAACACCTCTGATAAAATAATTTATCTCAAAGAGTTTATCTCATGTGCACCTCCGCACAGTGAGGGGGAAAGATTCAGAGTTGATCTTGAATCTAATTCGGTGTTCAGAGTTCCTTTTCTCCTTCTGTGGATGCTTTACTGCTGATAAAATTGAAACTGACAGATTTATAAAATGTTGATCTAACTATCAGGAAATACATTTATCTTCAGAATGATCAATTAGTGGGAGCTAAAAAGTGATTTCCTTTTCTATACTGCAGTTTGAAAATGTGTGACTTGTTTTCTGTAATGAATCTTGTAAATTACAACTTTTTGAATAATTAGTGAAAAATCTTCGGCTTCGTCTTGCAGAAAGTAACACCACAATCTGTTCTCAGATTTAGCAGCTGATTTTGCTGCACACTTTGACAACGATTATCCGTCTCACTTTTTATTCCCACAGAAAAACTGCTGTAGCGGCTTAAAGAATAGAAACTCGCCCTGATAAGAATCTTGATTTATTCAAAATGTGGTGCGATGAAACCGGTGTGTGTGTGGGTGTGTTTTATGTGTCTGTGTCAGGAGGTGCAGCTTGTATGTTTACCGCTGTGTGGGTGGAGTCGTGTCAGTTAGTGTGTTCTTCTTAAGTCTATTCCACTTTGGTAAAAGTTTGTTTCCAACCCACAGCTGTGTGTTTACATCTGTCACCCGTCAGACTTTGCAGATTCTAAGAATCAGTGATATTAACTTAAAATTGAGTCCGACTTTAAAGTCCATTTAGAAACTTGGATCATGTTTGCTCCCTTTTATTTTTCTTTTGCACAAAACCATCCGAGTTCACTGCTTCTTTACTGCCAATATTACTCTAATCAATTCTAACCTCCGGTTCCTGAAAGGTAAATGTATTTATACTTTCTTTTCCTGCCGTTGGATTCAAAATGAAAACACAAAGTTGGCAGAATCAGAATCAGGAGAACAACAACTGGAGGCATCAGGAGTGATGATGTGTTTTGACTGACTGCTTCTTCAGACACGTCTACCACGTAGAGTTTGTGGGATACTTCCTCAATATCAGTGTTTGCTATCCACTCACAGTACGGCTGATTTGTACTGGTTACTATGGTGATATGCATCTCTCAGTGGATCAAAGTTTGACAGGAACTGAACGAGCGATAGTTTGATTTCTGTCAGTTTTAAACGTAAACAGCCACAATGCATCCACCTCTCAGTCAACTCAGCCACGCCCCTAATTATGCAAATGTTTGAACTCTCAGGCTTATTTGAATCAGATGTGTTATAAAACCTCATCTACAGTTTTTTCCAATGGAGAAATTAGCCATCGATTCCTTAGTAGTCTTCATGGCCCGGCTCTAAATGTGTTCTATTTTTAAATATGGACACTTTTAATTGGGACCTGATGGAGACTCCTTGACTTTGAAGCCAGCCCCAAGTGGACATTCATGGAATTGCAGCTTTATTTGCTCTCCCACATTGGCGTCATGTTTTAACCCTGGAGGACACTGATTATAAAGCATCACTTTTAGACGCTAATCGTTCAAACTGAGCTTAGCTTAGTGACCCACAGCTGACTGCACACTGAGGGTAGTTAAGATTTGGAAGGAGTGCGCTTCGACTTCTCGGCAAGCCACAGCAACCTAAAGGTCAGCCATAACTCCTGTCTCTTTGTTTGTTCACAGAGACATTTAAAGAGTCTCTTCAGAGAATAATAATTGAAGCTTCATCCAGCGAAACAAACCTTTATGTCCTTCCTTTTTCTTTCCTTTATATCTTACCCACAGTCCAGGAAACAGGCAGCGTACATTACAGTTTCCTGTGGAGGTCTAAATGTGTTTGAGCTCACCATGCGTTGGAAAACAGGCCGTACATGACGCCGGTCCTCTTGTCCTGAGCCGTCAGCACCACCGCCTGCTTCATGTTGTTGTACTGCTGCTGAGTGTTTCCTGAGCCGCACATGACCCGCGCCTTCATGAAGGTGGTCCACGAGTTCTCCAGCAGGGCTTTGATGCCACCCTCGTCCACCTGAAAATAACACACGAGCATTGTGACAACAGAGTCAGATCAAGGCAGGCTGCCAAGATGTGACACTGACCCCACACCCCGACACAGAACTCCCTTTACCTCCCCCCCCCGGGTTGGAGATCTTTGACATTCTGGAGGAAGTGATTTCACTCCTTCTGTCTCTGAGGATTCTGAATATGTGTAGCTTAGCTCAGCACAAACACAGTTGGCAAATGAAAGTAGGAAGCTGAGTTAAAGGAGGCCTCCAGCAGTTCAACACGTGTCTCATTTACACGCCGTGTGCTTAGTGAATCAGGAAGTAAGACACAGCGGTTTAACAAGAAGTTAGCACACACATTAATCAAGCCACTTAATGAGCAACAAGCGCTGAGCCCAGAGAGAGCGGTCAGGGAAGTGTTTATTTTAACTCTGCACAAAAGCTCCCTCAAGTTATCTTATGAAATGTATGTGAAGGTGTAGGAGGTATAGGGACTAAACATGATGGATTAAGCGGCACTTAGTGACCAACATCAGCTGGAGCCAGAGAGGTCGCACACTTTCATAAAAACAGCTGATTCTTGAATGCGCAATGATAATACCGATTTGCCTTCTTACTCCATTTATCCATCAATCATCTATAATGCTTTTCCAGTTTGGGGGGGGGGGGGGTGCAAGCGGCGGGGTTACACCTTAATGGTCGCCAGCCAATCACAGTGCTGAGATCCAACCAGCCAGTGTTTCCATGGCAACGATACACATGTCTGTCTGTCATGACGGCCCCCTCTACAAGACACTTCCCCTTCCAACTCTAAAATAAATGATTTCTATTTCTTTGATAACTGTTAGAAATATCTGAGGTGATGTAAGTAGCCAACAACAAATAAACAACATAAGACTATTTTTAATTCATTTAGATATTTAAAGAGTAAAGATTCTACATATTGTTTCTTTCACTGTTTTTTTTTTCTTAATTAATGTCTCTCTTTACCTCCATCCACGCCCCGGATAAATCCACCTGCTAACCAATGGGCTTCTTCTCTGCGTGTCATAAATATGGTGAGACCCGGATGTAAGCAGAGTCGTGTCTGTGTACCTGCGTGTGTCCGTGGCTGACCTGGCTGTTTTTGAAAGTGAAACCCGTAATCTTAAAATCCTTCAGGGCTTCCAGCATGGACCGAAGATCTCCCGGTACCGGAGGTGTTTTGTTTTGTATTAGTCAAAGATCTTTGAACGCGCGTGAGGTCTCACTCCTTCCTTTTTTTTGGGGCCGAATTTGTGTTTGAAGATTTGTGGGTAATGTGAGGTCTCACTCCTTGTTCTATTTAATAACCAAAGTGAAATTATTAACCCTGACTGAACTGAAACGCAGAACAGGGAATTTTAATGTTTTGTGTGATTATTGGAGGTTTTTCTTTGAATAATGAACGTTATTTGTTTGTCTTAAAGGAGTAATATGTAGCTCTGACACCTAGTGTTTAAAGTGGGTACTGCAGTCCTAATTCAAAACATTGTAGAGAGCTGTCTCTCCCCCCCTCCTCTCTAGAGTCGATGCTCACGCAGGTTGTCATTTGGTGGACACTGAAGCTTCAGTGTTTAGCCAGCTCTGCATCGGTCTGTAAACCTTTCTGCGTTCTAACCTCTCTCCATTTTTCAAAAACATCTCCAACACTGATCCTAGTTTGAGCACGTTTCTGCTCGTGGAGCTTATTAGAAACATGCAGAGGCTTTTTAGGTCGGGTACAATCACTTCTATCTGAACCACTTCTCTTGCCCGCTTCCATCACTGCAACACCTGTTGACCTGATAACTGCTCTCATATCTGGCAAACCTATGGGGCGTCCAAAACGGCCGTGTGGGGGTGTCCTTAAAACCGCCTACCTTCTCTGGTCCAAACAAATCCAGAGCATTCAGGACCAGAATCTAAAGTTAGAAGGAGGACATACTGGCTGCTGCACTGTTGTCAGAGAAGCCAGCACTTCAACATAGCATGTTTCCTTAATGTCTGATCAGATAGTGAGCTCACTTTATCATTTCACTCTCTACACATCTCACTGATTGGACCTTTAAATGATTTACTCGTGTGTAATGACATTGCACCAGAACATCTCTTCCCTCGTACAGTATATCCCCATCCTGAACCTTACCTTTCATTGCTTATAATTGATCCTTTAATTTGAGGTCTTCTTTGAGATAAACTTCCATTATTAACATTGAAAGGAAGTCATGATTAAGACAGGGCAGCAGGTGTTCAGCCTTTCGTTTCACTAATTGGAAAGTGTTCAGAAATGTGATTCGAGGTTTCCACACAGTGAAGCAGCGCTTCTGGATTGCAAAGAACTGTTATACTTCCTGTGCTGATGCAATCTTTGAGTCCATTTTATTAGTAATTGAAAGAGTGCTTCTCTTCTTAGTCAGCTAAAATTCTCCCAGCATCTTAATATTATCCAAATGAAACAATCAGGGAGGAGCAAGCATTTTATTCACAGCTCATGAGTCATAAAAACGTATCCTTATTTAACAGTTAGTATGATATTATGTGACTGAGGTGCAAGAACAAAATTCGATTTAGAAACAACCATATTTTCCCAAACAAAGGCAGAGAAGTCGAATGATTTTTTACCATGCAGATCCGTCCGATGCGCGCCCTGTAAGGCTCCTCGTCCACTCGGGCTGTCTTGTTGAACTCGCTGAAGAAGAAGTAGATCTCCTCCTTGTCCTTCAGAGAGGATGGGATTATGGCTGCGCCGGCAAACTGCGGATCTGGAGGCGAGATTGAACTTTTCACTGCGTTTCCAGTTTATCTTGTTCTTATCACCTTTAAGTGAAGTTGTATTTCAAAATGGCTGGCTACACACTGGACGATTTTAGGCCAGTTTTGCATGTTTGATATTTAAGATTCCAAATCGGGCTGCCTCAGACAGAATACCTGCAACAGCCAATGAGAGCGAGCAGACTGGGAAGCATCACCAAACGGATATAGCGTCAGCTCTCAAACATGGCGGCGAACATGAACAAAACTGAGCCCTGAGCCAAGTGGTCTGGATGAATCGTCTAGTGTGAGCGTTCAGAGGATAATAATGAAGCTGTCCTCGTGTGTGTGCTCTCCCAGGTTTCTAAAATCGGTTAAGATTTGAAAGTCGTCTCGTGTGTAGCCAGCTTTAATTATACATATGAAGGATATTGTTTGAAAAAGCTACCAGTGGATGAAATGTGATCTGTATTTTAACGCGGTCCTTAACAAACCACAAAAAGACTGACGGAGGATACACCTACATGGTGTTTCTCCCTGTGGGAATTACAGAGTGTGATTTACCGCCCACCATCTCATTTTTCATTAGTCTGAACCCGTACGGTTCCAGCATGACTCCCCTCCTCCTCCTACTCACTCAGCAGCCAAATGTTCTCCGTCTTCAGGAGTTTCTGGGAGCCAAACGTACGCCTGATCGAGCCGGCGTGACCCGCCACCGAGGACATCGCCGAGTACATACTCCCATCTGAGAAGGCGAGGCGAAACAAAGATGGAGAGAAGAAAGGGTAAACAGTGGGTGAAAAAAAAAAAAAAGGAGAGAGATAGAGTATTCACAGGGGGAGGCGGATAGATGGAGAGAGACAGAGGAGGGGATTGAGTGAAGCTTGAAGAGAGGAGTATACACAGAGAACATTAAACACACAGAGGGGAAGTGAAGATGGGAGGAAAAAGCACGAGGGGGGGCGGGGGGCTCGAGAGGCCGCAGACTGAATAAAGAAACATGAGGGGAGAAAACAGAGAGCACTAGAAAAGGAGTCATCAAGGCAGACTGCACTGACGAGCAGCCATCAATCCCCACGTTCTTATAACCCCTCTTAAAGCTCTGTCTCCATAGCGATGCAGTGTAGTCATGGCAGTAACATCTTAATTACGTCTGATCGTTGTACGGCTGTTAGACTAAAAACTAGAGGCGCTCGGTTCATTGCCTCCATAATCGATTCCCATCTTTAAGAGCATCCCTGCAGTGCACACTAACCTCTTGCTAATTTCCGATAGTGTCTACAAACAACCCGTCTGGGCTAGACGGTTAAACAGACAATTTCTACGTGCCTTGTTGTTGTGCTGTGACTGCTGAAAGGTCGGTTTAATTTGAAACCCGCTCTTTGACGCCCATCACACCTGGCGCTTGTCAACAGTCACTCAGCTGAGAGTTTTCATTTCCTGTGGAGAGGGGCGAGGTGCTAAAGCCCGATGGGGTGACCTTGTGGAATTCAGGATTCACATCCTTTAAACTGTCTTGTTGTTGGTCGAATTGGGCTTTACTAGCAAAGCAGAGTATTTCATATAAAGAAGTTATCCTTGAATCCAGGCCGTGGTTCAATATATTTTGTGTGTAAATGACTTGAAATCTTTCTGTTATAGCTCCAGGAGATTTTCTTAACTGGCAGCTGCTGACAGCTCGAATGCCTGCTGTGTACTTTATTGGGGCAACACACTCAATCAAACTGAGTTCACATATAAAGTGTTTGTTTTTCTGCCATCGACTAACTCACATTGTTATTCCAAGCTTCTCACAACATGGAGGAAAGAAATCCGAAAGATGCAAACATGTTTGTTAAGGCAAAGATCTTTTTTAAAGGTCACATATCCTCCTCTTCATCAAACAGTGTAAATAAGTCTCAGAGCTCCTCAAAACATGTGTTTGAGGTTTCTTGTTCTAAATCCACTCAGATCCTGTATTTGATCATGTCTATAAACCCCTCTATTTCAGCCCTGCTCAGAACAGGCTGTTTCTGTGTCTGTACCTTTAAATATGTAAATGAGCTGTGTCTGACCACGCCCCCTCTCTGGAAGGACTTGGGTGTCTCGGGCTTTCTTGCTCCATGTCCTATTGTTTACGGTGAGAAGGCAGACTCAGAGGGCAGAACAAACACCTAGCTGTAGGAGTGTCACCCACCTGGGGGAGGGGCTACTGCCCTTTGTGATGTCATGAAGGGAAAATATCCAAACGGCCTGTTTGAGCACACATTTTCTGAAAAGTGCAGCAGGCAAAAGACGGGAGAGGATGGACTTTTCTCATAACTGGAGACAGGACAGTCTCCACCCTCTCCCTGTGACTAGACACAGTCGGGTTAGTAAGACTCTGTGGTCAGTCGCTTAACCACAGCGGATTCTTCTGTTCTTGTCATGGTGCTTGTGACGTCATGTGTGACAGAGAGCAGTATGATCAGGTGTTTGTCAGGGAACCAGAGGAAGCCTACATGGTGAGCACAAGAGGAGCGAGGCCGCAGAGATAATGATTGGCCTAATGATAGTCTGGTCCAGCAGTGAGAGAATTCTCTCTGTATGATTTCATATTATCGCTAACATGAGGCCGAGGGTTCCCTTCAAGATGTATGAAAAGCTGCTTGAGGTTTAATCGCTTGCTTTGCTAGAATGTGAGACAGCAAATACATGTTGATGTTATAACCACATTGAGCCAGTCAGAAAATGGTTGAAAAGACACTGAAACCACAGTCAGTGCTCACTGGGTGGTTAGTTTGGTTTATGCAACATCTCTTTTTCCTTCTTTAGCAATCAAGAGTCTGAAAAAAAACGTCAGCCTGCAGTTTGGGTCTGAATCTGTTTGTGCAGCCAGTTAACAGCAAGATCCTTTTACAGCAATGTTCCCCGTGACTTTCCCGATATGAACGCAGCACCACAGATGGCTGACTCTTGTGTTTCTTGGCACTCAGGGCGGTGTGATCTCTCGGTGATGTTAACGCTTTACCAAATGTCAGTCAAGATCTGCTAATGCCTTCCACACACTGGACCATACTCAGAACCAGCGTCTGATATCTTCATGGATCAAATATTTTAGAAAGATGTTTGATGAGCGACTTAAGTCCTTAAAACTCTCCGATCATCTTTGGGTAACATTTTCTCTATGATGGATGTTGATTCCAGTATCTGATTTACAGGAAGGGTCTAGACTGGACTATGGCGTCATGGTGCAAGAATTTTAAACTTCGATACGATACTTATCAATCAATCTTTGTTTGTATAGCTCTGTGTAAAGAGTCCATCAGCATCAACTCATCCATTCATACAAATTCAAACGTCACCGACCAAGCAGAGGGGTCAACATGGGGTTAAGTGCCTTGCCCAAGGACACATCGGACATGTTGCTGCAGGAGCTGGAGATTGAACCCTCGAACTTCACTTTGAGAGACGACTGACTCTACCACTGAGACAAAGCCATACCGGCTTAGAGATAGGACAGTAGATAGAGGCCGAAATTTGGGCGAGAGAGAGTGTGGGGGGATGACAAGCCGGATCTGATCCCGTGCCTCCCGCTTAGACGACTATAGCCTCCATACATGGCCATACATGGGGCGCCCCCCTGTGCAGCCTT